CTCTCATTGTGATTCTCATGTTCTCTTTCTCTTGAGCATAAGAAATCCTCACGCCCGTTCTCTTTGTTTTGAACATGAAAGTTCAAGACTGGCACGTTGACCTGAAGTGCCTTTTAGTACCTGTGAGTTTGGAAAGCTCAGAACTCATCTGATAAGAGGCAAAGAAATCTAGCACAGATCTGGTGCTAAAAAAAAATCACTAAAAAATAATACACTCTGGCTACACTGTAGATAGTAAAATATATCTAAAGGGTATAAATAAGTAAGACAGTCCTAATATTTTATATAAATGGGTAGTTGTGGCTTGGGATAAAAATTTTAGTGATAGTATAATACAGTGATTCAAAAAATTCTTATGTAATTTGGAAAATTTACTGTGATGCAGAAAGTTTTGATGCACTCATGTCTTGTGTCAAAAATTTTCTATGAAATACGAGATAAAGCAAACAATATTCTGATAAAATCAATAGTCTACAGTTTACGTATTTTAATATTTAACACATTGAGGACGGATCACAAGAATTCTCACTTCAACATGCAATGGGTATTTAATTTTAAAGCATGCCTTTAACATATATGTAAAATGTTTTTTGTACTCATTCAATAGAAACTTATCTGGTCGCTGGGTAAAGCTAGCAATAAAACTACTTGTTCGCAATGTGCTAAGCATACTAATAAATATATATTTGTTTATTTTACATATTCAGATAAAAATTATTTTAAAATATTCTAACTGGAGAAATAGAATCACTTTATATTTGGAGCTGCCTTATACTTGGACATGCCTAGTTTATGACCTTAATGCACATATTAGAAAAGAAAAATGATTGGAAATTACTTAGGTAACCTTTCAATTTTAGGGATTAGAAAATGAGCCACAGAGTAAAGCTAACTAATGAGAAGAAAAAAAAAAATGAGGAAAAGGACACAAATTAACAAAGGAGAAAATCATATAAGAAACAGTATCAAAACTGAAAGCTGGCCTTTAGACCAGTAAACTAAGCAAACTTCTGGCAAAATTAATCAAACAAAATGGAAGGCAAAAGTGAAATGAAAAGAGGATTATACCTGCAGATGTAGTAGAGCTATGAAAAAACATGAGCGAATACAGTGAGTAATTTTCTAGAAATACTAGAGGCCCAGTGCATGAATTTGTGCACTAGTGGAGTCCCTCAGCCTGGCCTGTGGGACTGGGCTGAAATCGGCTCCCTGACATCCTCCAAGGGGTCCTGGATTGCGAGAGGGCACAGGCCAGGCCAAGGGACCCCACTTGTGCACAATCGGGGCAGGGGAGTAACCAAAGGAGGGCTCCAGGGCATGTCCAGCCCGTCTCACTGAGTCCCGATTAGCCAGACCCCATCCACAAGCTAACCTACTGGTCAGCGTCTGCCCCCTGGTGGTCAGTGCACATCAGCGAGTGGTTGAGTGGCCTTAGCGTATCATTAGCATATTATGTTTTGATTGATTGAATGGACGACTGGACACTTAGCATATTAGGCTCTTATTATATAGGATATCATCAAGACTTTTATGGGAAAGCAGACTCAGCTATAGGGTAGGGGTTGAAGTGTTTTGGCTACTTTATATTTGAGATAATGTTTAGATGTTGAGCAAGCCAAGTTAGCCAAGCAAGTTTTGGAGAAATGTACAGATTTGGGGGTTATTAGCTTATAGATGACTAGAGGCCCGGTGCACAAAAATTTGTGCATTCAGGGGGGAAGGGGGTCCCTCAGCCCGGCCTGTGCCCTCTCGCAGTCTGGGACCCCTCGGGAGATAATGCCCTGCTGGCTTAGGCCTGCTCCCGGGTGGCAGAGGCCAGGCCCAATCCCTAGGTGCAGCCCCTGGTTGGGCTCAGAACAGGGCTGATTGGGGAGTTGGGGCGCTGCCCCCTCTCATGCACAGAGCAGGGCAGATTGGGAGGTTGCAATGCCACCCTCAGTCACGCTCAAGGTAGGGCCGATTGGGGGGTTGGGGCACCGTCCCCTGTCACACTCAAGGCAGGGTCGATGGGGAGGTTGCGGCGCCACCCCCTGTCATGCACAGAGCAGGGCCAATCGGGGTTGGGGCGCTGCCCCGGGTCACTCACAGAGCAGGGCCCATCAGGGGGGTTGGGGCTCCGTACCCTGTCACACACACGGAACAGGGCGGATCAGGGGGTTGGGGCGCCACACCCTGTCACACTCAGGGCAGGGCTGATGGGGAGGTTATGGCTCTATCCCGTCACACACAGAGCAGGGCCCGTGGGGGGCAGTTGGGGCGCTGCCCTTTATCACCCACAGAGCAGGGCCCATCATGGGGGTTGGGGCTCCGTACCCTGTCACACAGCAGGGCTGATCAGGGGGTTGGGGAGCACCCCCCTATCAGGCACAGAGCAGGGCCGATCAGGGGGTTGGGGTGCCTTCCCCTGTCACAAACAGCAGGACGGATAGGGAGGTTGTGGCCCCACTCCCTGTCACAAGCAGCAGGACGGATAGGGAGGTTGTGGCCCCACTCCCTGTCACACACAGAGCCGCAGGGCGATCAGGGGGTTTGGGCACTGCCCCCTGTCACGCTGCTCCAGGGGCCAGGAGGCCTCGCGGCTCCGCTGATCCCGGTGCTGGGAGGCATATTACCCTTTTACTATATAGGATAGAGGCCTGGTGCACGGGTGGGGGCCGGCTGGTTTGCCCTGAAGGGTGTCCTGGATCAGGGTGGGGGTCCCCACTGGGGTGCCTGGCCAGCCTGGATGAGGGAATGATGGCTGTTTGCAGCTGGTCACACACCCTTCAGGGTGGGGGTCCCACTTGGGTGCCTGGCCAGCCTGGATGAGGCGATGATGGCTGTTTGTATCTGGTCACACCCCCTTCAGGGTGGGGGTCCCCACTGGGGTGCCTGGCCAGTCTGGGTGAGGTGCTGAGGGCTGTTTTCAGGCTGGCGGGTGACTGAAGCTCCCAACCGCTCCTTTTTTCCTTTTTTTTTTTTTATTTTTTTTTTATTCTTGGATTTATGGCTGTCACTGGAGCTGAGAGCCGGCTTTAGCTGTGAGACCTCGCTGCTGAAAGCAGGTTTCTGGCTTTGTTTACTTTCTGTATTTGAAACTTTGTTGCGGCTCCAGCTCTGAGATCCCGGCTGACTGAAAACAGGTTTCTGGGGTTTTGTTTAGCTTCTATATTTGTAACAATGTTTCTTAGCAGCTCAGAGCCCAGCAGCGGCAGGCGGGGAACGTTGGAGTCCTCTGTCACTGAAGCAAGCAAGCCTCCTGTTCCTGTCAGTAGCCTGGCTGCCGGCCGCCATCTTGGCTGGCAGTTAATTTGCATATCGCCCTGATTAGCCAATGGGAAGGGTAGCAGATGTACGGCTAATTACTATGTTTCTCTTTTATTAGATAGGATGTTAAGAGCAGATGCATAGAGACTATTTTAAGACCTGAGATGATAAGGATCTGAACTAAGACAATGGTAGTGGGACGAAGAGGGTATAGAATTAGAAGATAGAACTGAAGTACGTTTAGGTCTGTGAAAGTAGGTGAGTTAGGAAATAAGGAGTTTAATAGATAAAAAATAATTTGGAAGGAAGTTCCCTCTGTAGGGAGGTTTATTGGCATGTGATTGATTGAGTACAGTTTAGGGAAATTACCTTACTTCAGTGCTTTACCTTTATTTCAGGTTGGAGAATTTTCAGTTTTATTAATTATAGCATCTTTTTTTTTTTTAAATATATTTTATTGATTTTTTACAGAGAGGAAGGGAGAGAGATAGAGAGTTAGAAACATCGATGAGCGAGAACCATCGATCAGCTGCCTCCTGCACGCCCCCCATGGGGGATGTGCCCGCAACCCAGGTACATGCCCTTGACCGGAATCGAACCCGGGACCTTTCAGTCCTCAGGCCAACGCTCTATCCACTGAGCCAAACCGGTTTCGGCATAATTATAGCATCTTAAAAAGCAACTGGTAATATAATTTTGAAACACAAAATTAATTGTATATTAGTTTAGTTGAAGCTAGTATAATGAATAAAGTTTCTTGGCAAAGATACTACCAATATAAGCTAATTTCAAGTAATAATTTATCTGATATACTTCTTCCTATAGATTTTCAAATTGGAATGGCAATCTTTTTTTTATGGACAGTGAATAATGATTAAGAATGTTTGATCTTTTGGTAGATTTGTAGGGTGAAAACCAATTTTTTAGATGTTTGTAAGAACATTTATCCTAAGTCGCAGTAGCAGTATGGTTTTCCTGGATTAGGATTCACTTCTGTAGCCATAGGGGTGAAAAGATACAATTTTAGTTTTATCTGCATTTCCGTGAAGGCCACTGATTTGTTGGTGAGTAGCATGCAAACTGCAGTTGTGCAGACCATGACTGTTTCATAAACCTTAGGTGAATAAGCTTACTCGTGTAGTTTCTCTATTGGATTTTTAAACTTTCAAAAAGAAAAAAAAATTTTCATTAAAAAGTTAACTTTTATAGTTGACATTAATCAGAATTTCCTTTGGTTTTTGGCAATACAGAGAAAAGGTTGGGAAGTATTTTTTGATTCATTTTTTTAACCTCTGAATCCATCTCTCCTCATCTTTACTCCCTGTGTCTAGCAGGCGGGGTCTGGGGGTGAACCTGACTCAGAGACAGCATTTGGCCCCAGGGCAATCTTGTTTCCTTGCTGTATGTTGTCTCTAACTAAAGTTTTAGTTGGTGATCAGTATGCTTTACCTTATGCTATTTGAGATGCATGCTATTTTAAGTCATAACTATAAATATTTTTAGAGAATGTGAAATGATAATAGAAAACATTGAAAATGGCAATAAAACAAGAGACTACTATGTTACTTTAACATTTTAAAATGTTTTAAGTTTTTAGAATTGTACCTGAAACATAATTTTATTAACCAGTAACCCCAATAAATTCAGTAAACATTCAAAAAAATAAAATATTTGAATTTTATTTTATACACATGTTTAAATAAAAGCATTATATTAAAAATATAATAGATCAATTATGCTTTTTTTTTTAACAGAAGGTGACAATAGGATTTATAGAAGTGAAGAATTTTTAAAGAAGGTGACAAAAAGAGAAGGAAAATGCCGAAACCAGTAAGTATATTTTATTTTACTTTTGCCACTACTTAATAAATAGCACTAAGTTCCTTGTTTTGTTTTGTTTTAAATATTTTTTTTTTTATTGCTTTAGAGAGGAAGGGAGAGGGGGAGAGAGAAACATCAATGATGAGACAGAATCACTGACCGGCTGCCTCTTGCTTGCCCCATACTGGAGATCAGGCCAGCAACCGGGGCATGCGCTCTGACCAGGAATCAAACTATGACCTCCTGGTTCATAGGTCGACATTCAACCACTGAGCCATGCCAGCCCGGCAGTAAGTTCCTTTTGGAACAAAAGTATTGTGTAGAATTGTTGGGAAGAAGAAGGCATTGATATTATTATTAACTGGTTTAGATTAATGTGGCTAAAGTGCAGTATTATGTGGGCTGGTGAAGAAGAGGTATGGTGACGTTGTAGTTAAGATTAAAATTCATGGGTTCTGCATCAAACTGTCCTAGTTCTTGTTTAGACTCTGTTACTTAATTTGAGTGTTTTGTTAGATTAGTTCAGTCTCTCCATTCTTAATTTCCTTATATATGAAAGGGAGATACATATGGTGAGGATTTAGAAGAAGTTGTTCAGTGGTCAGTAAATAATAGGAGGAATGAGAGGTTCATTCATTATTATTTTCCTCATAATTCTGTTTTGTTTTTTAAAAAAATCCTCACCTGAGGATATCTTTTTTATTGCTTTCTAGATAGAGTAGAAGGGAGGGAGAGAAGGAGGGAGGGAGGTGGGGGGAGAGAGAGAGAGAGAGAGAGAGAGAGAGAGGGAGAGAGAGAGATCAGCGTGAGAGAGACACATTGATCAGTTGCCTCCCTGTGTGCTCCTGCAACCGAGGTACGTGCTCTTTACCAGAATTGAACCCGAGACCCTTCGGTCCGAGGACCGATGCTCTAACCACTGAGAAACCGGCCAGAGTTCATAATTCTGGTTTTGATACTCATGATACCTATGCTGGCATTTGATAGTCTTAGATATTTTATTTAAAGGATAAATGTTCTTAAAGAAAATTGGGTTGTTGTTTTTTTTTTTTTTTTTTTTGTAATTTTATTTTGGCCAATTACCTTTTTAAAAAAATTATTGGTTATAATTACTGGAATTTTCTGGTATGGATATCGCTTTGGAATTACTTTAAAGACTCAGCAGGTATGTTCATTTACTGTTTGAGGGAAAGAAGAATATAAAGAAGTAAAAGTCATAACCATGAAAAAGGAAGAAGTAAATTTTTCTATTTTCAGGTGATGACATGATTGTTTATGTAGAAAATCTTCAGAAAGAACAGCTACTAGAACTAATAACTGAATTTAAGATTGTTGGACAGAAGTTATATTATTAAAAATCAGTTGTCTTTGTTATATACTAGCAGTAAAATTTGAAAAATCATTTGCAGTAGCATCGAAGATATAAAATACTTAAAAATAAATTTATAGAAACTGTACAAGATCTCTATACTGAAAACTGAGAAATTAAAGACTTAAAATGCACAAAAAAGTATATATTGTCTAGGTATGTCTGGAAAACATTAAGATGTCAGTTCTCCTTAAATGCAATGGTAGATTGAATACACTTTTCAGTCATTTAAATCCCAGTAGGCTTCTTTAACTGAAATTGACTAGCTGGTTGTGAAATGTTTATGGAAGTGCCAAACCAAAATTTATATGGAATAGCTAAAGCAAGTTTTTATGTTTTATTATTATTAATTGAATTTATTGATGTGACATTGGCTCTCAAAACCATACAAGTCTCAAGTGTACAAACTCAACAAAATATCATCTGCGCACTGCATCGTGTGCCCACTGCCTCAGGCAAGCAACAGTGTGGTGATAGCCAGAGGGAAAGGGGGGTAGGGGCTAGGTGGAGGTGGGCAACGTGGGCAAAGGAGAGGAAAATGGGGACGCAATAGCTAAAGTAATTTTTAAAAAGAATCAAGGTGGAAAATTTAACACTCCTGAATTTTAATGCTTATTCACAAGCTATGAAAATAAGAAAGTGTGATATTGTTGAAATAGGATTAGTGAAACAACATATATTATGATGAAAATATTATTATGCTTTCAACAAGATTATCACACAACTCAATGGGGAAATTATTTCCAACAAATAGTGTTGGAACAAAAAGTTATCCATACAATAAAACAAACACTAACCTTTATCCCATATTATACACAAAAAGTTAGCTCTAAGTGGATCATGGACCGAAATTCAAAAGCCCATATTATAAAACTGCTAGAAGACATAAGAAAACGTTTTTGCAACCTTGGGGTAGGCAGAGTTTCTTATAGAACACAGAATGTTTGAATCATTTAAAAATACTGGATTTCATCAAAATTAAAAACTTTTGCTCTTTGAAAAACCCTGTATTTTTTGGACCTAATGTGATTTAATTGACTGTCACCGCTGGGATTGAACTGACTCAATTTTACAGATTTTGGATTTAACAGACAAATTTCTGGTCTGTATATAATATGTGAAAATTAACACTGTTAATTTTAAAATGCTTTTAAGCAAGATTTGCTTATAATTAAAAGGTTATTTTTTGTTATTAATAACTTATTTTTAACAAATTTTAGTGAATAACATGTTGGAAAAAGCTCTGTAGTAATTCCACCAACATAAATAGATATTAATATCTTCAACTATAGTATACAGATTTAAGTCCACGAGTCACCCCACGGCGACTGGCAGTGGCAGCAGCAGCGGGGTGATGGGGGCAGTGCCTTCCTCTGATCAGCTCAGTCACCTCCCACAGAGGGAGGCCAGAGGCAGCAGCAGTGGCGGGGTGATGGGGGCGGCGCCTTCCCCTGACCGCATGATTGGCCCAGTCGCCTCCCTTGGGGAGCGGGCCTAAACCATCAGTAGGACATCCCCTGAGGGCTCCTGGACTGTTAGAGGGGCTGGCCGGGCTGAGGGAATCCCCACCTAGTGCACAAATTTTCGTACACTGGACCTCTAGTCCTATATAACAAAAGGCTAATATGCAAATCGACCCAATGGTGGAACGACTGGTCACTATGGCACACACTGACCACCAGGGGGCAGGCGCTCAATGCAGGAGCTTCCCCCTGGTGATCAGTGCGCTCCCACAGGGGGAGCGCTGCACAGCCAGAAGCCAGGCTCAGGTCTGGCAAGCACAGCAGCGGTGACGGGAGCAGTTATATAGGATAACTGCTTTGTTGCTATAGCAGCATAGTTGTGTAGATGCAGCAGACTGTATAGTCTGCAAAGCTTAAAATATTTACTCTTTGGTCCTTTACAGAAAAAGTTTTTTGGCCCCTGGTTTATATAAACAGATTTACAGGCTCATTATAACAGTTGGCAAGGGAACTCATAAAAGGATTGTTATAAAAATAAATTGCATTTCTACAGAAGCAAAACCAGGAAAAAAAATTGGAAAGATATTTTTCATTTTCACAGTCCTGAATTTGAATCCCTTATGCTAGATGAGTTTCACTGTTTGCGATATTTTAGATTTTAGAAAGGTGAATATGCTGTATTTATGTGTAAATGCCATTATATCATGAAACTTCCATTGAGGTCTTTGCATTACCTCAAAAACGTTAATACTTCTATAGGTCAGTGCACAAATATTCATTTGAAGTAGGATGAATTAATTCACTAGTTAGTCACATTACTCCATGTCAAATTTTTGCTAGAAATTAGCTAATAAACTTTAGTTTTCAGTGTTTTTAGGATATCAAGAAACGGTGGACCTGTATTTATAATAGCTACAAAATTATAATGAACTAGGGGAAAGATATCTAGCAAATGATTAATGTGATTTTTAACACTCTTTTGGAAAGATATTGAAGAAGACTTAAATTAATGCATAGAGAGAACCATAGTCATGAATAGAAGAGTCAATTTTTAAAAGATGTCATTTCTCCTCCAAGAGAATTTGTTGTAAAAATGAACTTAGTGTAGTTTCAGTTTAAAGCATGATAGAGTAATGATTATTATTTATAATGAAAAGTTTACAATTTCATATGAAGTCAAGAGCAAAAACAAAGTGCCAAGAATAGCTAAGACAGTTCTGAAGATAATGAGGGGAGACTTGCTCTACCAGATATAAAGACTTATTTAAAGATATAGTAATCAAGACAGTACGATATTGGCAGAATAGTTAAATGCAACAGAATTAGCACAAAATCAGATGCATACCTATAGACATTTGATTTGTGAAAGAGTAGTCTTTATCCTTATGGGGATTAAAAAATGAAATTGTACCTCTACTTCAAATCGTAAGCAAAAATTATTAAAGACAGCTTATGATAAAACTTTAGTAGGAAATATATTAAATGTATGCTGATTAGTTAATATTTTCATAATTCCAGAGTAGAGAAATAGTTCTTAAATGTGCACAAAAACATTGATAAATTCAATATTAAAATTAAGAATGTGTTTACCAGAAAGAAGGGCAATTTATAAAGTAGAATGACAAACATGGAGAAAAAAATTTTTGCAACAAAAATAACTGATAAAGAATCTAGGATACATAAAGATTTCCGACACAGGAGTAAGAAAAGACAAACCAATTAGAAAAATAAGCAGTAGCCCTGTCTAATTTGGTTACAAATTGGGGATTTCCATGATCCCCTCATCAGTTTCTATAATTTGTTATAATAACTCACGGGATTCAGGGAAACACTTAAGTTATTGTTACTGGTTAATATAGAGGGTATTGTAAAGGATACAAATGAAAGATACAGATGAAGAGGAAGAAGGTAGGGTGTGGTCCAGAACAGTCCTGAGCTCAGAAGCTTCTGTACTTGTCGAATTTGAATGCACCCTCTTCTTTGTATGTGGCTGCACTCACCAACTCAGAACTCTCTGAACCCCCCTTCCTTGAGGATTTTTATGAAAGTTCCATTATGTAGGCATGATTGATTAAATCATGGGCCACTGATGATAAGCTCAGATCCCATTGTCTCTTCTCCCTGGAGGTTGGGGTGAGTGGCTCTAATCACATGGTTGGTTCCTCTAATCACATGGATGGTTTCTCTGGCTGCCACTCCCCACCCTGAAGCTGTCTAGGAGCCAGCCTTCTGGAGTCAAGTCATTAGCATAAACTCTGGTTGGATGAAAGGGGCTTATTATGAATAACAAAAGATGCTCCTCACACCTGTCACTCAGGAACTTCCAGGGGTTTTAGGAGCTTTGTCAAGACCCAGGATGAAGACCAAATATGCATTATGTCACAGTTGGTTTGATTTTATTATGGTTCATTGTTTACATATCTTACATGTATTGTTTTATGTGTAACAATAGTTCCTAATAGATATTACTTTAAAGAAGAAACGATCTATAAGATTTATTTGATTGGAGAAGGTAGAGGGTCTATATGTATAGAGATCGTGGTTGTTAGAATGAGTAAAACATGTAAGAAAATAAGTCTGATTTAGAGTTCTAATAGTGGAGTTAAAGTTTAAAAGATATATTTGTACCACATCATGGTGAATTCTCAGTAAAGATGCCACTCTGGAGTTAAAATTATTTTGGCTAAGAAGGCATGTTACATTCTTGGTGAGATAATCCAGCTAGAAAGGTGTTTACACAAAACAAATTAGAGTATAAAATAGAATCTAGCAAAGGGCATTCGATGAATGCTTTTTATAAAGTGAAGAATACATTTTCAGTATAAATAAAACTGATTTTTGTGTTTAAAGAAATATGAGATAATGAATGACATTCAAAGAATTTCGAGTTATACCTCAGTTTAAATACCTGCTCTGCCTTTGATATCCATGTGTCAGTGGCCAAATAATTGGAACTCTTTCAGTTTCTGTGGAAATGAACATACCTCCTAGTATTGCTGGGGCTAAATGGGAATATGGGAAGCTCATGGCCTAGTGACTAGTATACGTTAGGTATTCAGTAAATGTTCTTAAAAGAAGACTTCATAAGGTCTTTGTTTTGCAAGTAGATTTAAGATTTCCTGTGATTAAAATCAAACCTGATTACTTTATCAAAGAAACGATTAGGTGCAATTATGGAATTGTTCTTTACTGTCTGCATTTTATATCACTTTATTTTAGAAATCAGATAAAAGTGTTTTCTCCTGCCTAATACTTAATAAGTGTATTTTCTTTCCTACTGACTATTCTTTTTCCTTATTACAGATCAACGTGAGAGTAACCACGATGGACGCTGAGCTGGAATTTGCCATCCAGCCCAATACAACTGGCAAACAACTTTTTGACCAGGTATCATGAACCACATGAAGTATGCAACTTTTGACACCATCGTGTGTATGCTATTGCACTTCTGTGTTTTTCTATACCTTTACTGATAAGCACATTGTAGCACTGGAACTTTTCACAATACCTATTCAGGTATGTTGAATAGCTGTAGAGATCCTCTTCTCATTCCTAGATTTGAGGAGTAGGATTTTTTAAAAGTAACTATTAGCAGGTATTTATTTAATATCTGCTATGCAAATCATTGTAATGAAGACTAAAAGGAATTCAGACATTTACAAAGTGGGATGGGCGCACTAGATAGCAGGGATGGCAGTAGCAAAGACGGGAATTAGAGGCTGTAAGTGGCACCTAACAGGAGATTAGTGGCTTATTTGTTAGCCTGGAGTTAGAGCATGGATGTCATGTTAAGGAACTTGGATTACGATCTTGTCTTTTTTCTCTCCTGAGTGCACATTTGAGTCCCTTCTGGCCTTAAAAAAAGAAAAGTCAATACTTGGAAACTGCCTCCAGAGATCCTGATTTAATTATGTGGTGCCTACTTTAAACCATTAGTTTTTTGTTTTGTTTTTTAATTTAAGCTCCCTAGGTGATGCTGTATGTAATGTTCAAGTAATCAAATTTTATTGAGGAAAGGAGAATGGGATTGGTGCCCTGGGGTCAAGTGATACAGGTGAATCGATGATTGCAAAGAGGAGGAAAGTGATATATTTTCCATGGCCTGAGATTTCTAACTTTCGCATAAACTTTTAGTATGTGCAGGAGCAAGAGTCTGTGGTCAGACTAATGTGACCTTAGAGCAGCGATTTTTAAAGACATGCAATACCGGACTATTTGGTCAGGGGCACTGACCTCTTTCTCCTTAGGTTGTCAAATAAAAAATGACAACAGCCAACACAACAAGAGCTATCCAGTGTGAATGAGCCAAAATTACATCTATTTTGTCCTGGTGAGGTAGCTCAGTTGCTTAGAGTGTCGTGTCCATATGCCAAGGTTGTGGGTTTCATCCGCTGTCAGGGTACATAAAAGAATCAATCAGTAAATGCATAAATAAGTGGAACGGCAAATCAAAGTTTCTCACTCTTTCCTTCCTCTCTCAAATCAATAAGTAAAATAATTATACCTATATTTATGTCAGGTTGGCAAAAAATATATTTTTTGGTGTGCCACAGAATTTTAATAATTAGTTTATGTGTACCGTGATAAAGGTTGAAAATCGCTGCTTGAGAGAATGGGGGTGAGTTTTTTGCATTACAGCAATAAATAACCAATCACATACCTTGGTTTTACTAGGTGTCATTTTATCACATACAAATATCAATGAAATAAATACAATGAAATAAAAATTTAAAATTCCTGGAAAGTTGTTCCTTTCCTTGACAAAGTGGTATACTTAATCTCCTGGTTGGGTGATTAAGATCTTGATAGCCCCGAGAAAGTCTTTTTGGAAGGTGAAAGGCTCTTTTTGTGTGTGAGTGACCAAATTTTTAAAACAAAATGATAAGCAGCTGCATTCACCATACACAATGAACTAATACCTTGTGAACTAATACCCACTTCGTTGATTCTTGTAGGCCTTCTGTTTATAAACATATAGCCTACCTTTATTTGAAATAAAAATGTAAATAGAGTTAGCATTTATTGTACTTCATAGCAAGTTGAAATGTTATTTACGTAATTAATGAAATGCTTGTGGTAGCCAGACACTAGCCAGCTAGTGGGCCTTTTTGGTATTGATACTGAAAAATAAAATATTTGTGTTTTATTAAGCAGAATTGTTTTAGTTTGGATACCAGGGAAAAGGAAACCCCATTTATTTGGCGCAAGAGCGTGTAGCAGTTTGAAATATGGGCTCTGGAGCCACATCTGCCTGCTTTGGAGTCCTGACTACAGCCATTCGACTTTGGACAGATTCCCGTCTTTGCCTCATTTTTCTCCTTTGTCAGTTAGGATGGTGATAGCCTCACTCCCTTTGAAGGTTGTGAGAATTAATTGGGACTTCATGTAAAGTGCACAGAACAGTATTTTACATACATACATACAGCACACACATATGTACATGTTGTAAATGGAGGTCTAGATTAAGGAGTATTGTTATCTGTTTGGGCTCTCTCAACAATTCTTTAAAATTTTTTTTAAAATATGTTTTTATTGATTTCAGAGAGGAAGGGAGAGGGAGAGAGAGAGAGATCAGTGATGAGAGAGAATCCTTGATCTGCGTCTAGCATGCGCCCTCCCCACCCACCCCAATGGGGATCGAGCCCACAACCTGGGCATGTGCCCTGACCGGGAATCGAACCCTGACCTCCTGGTTCATGGGTTGACCATTCAACCACTGAGCCAACATCGGCCAGGCTCGACAATTAATTCTTATAATCGCTGTTCTATTTCCTGACAAATTCTCTTGATCCAAGAATGCACGGATTTAAAAGCAGGCTTTACTTGGGTATAGTGAGTAATGGGGTGAGCTGGCAGGTAGGTGGGCTCAGGGTCCGGCCTGGAGCAAATCTAGAGTTAGGGGTCCTCTCAAGTAAGAGTACAGAGCTACATGAGTCCACCTTAGCAGTCTCTCTTCTGATGACATTGGTTTGAGGCCAGCTGTTGTGTGGAGGGACTCTAGTTGAGTGCTTATGGTTCTTTGTTTGCTCCCTGCTGACTCTTCCTTCACTAGCCTCCTCTTCCAGCCTCTACCTGTGGGATTAAAGTAGTGTGTTCATACCCCAAGGAGTGTCCAACATGATTTGTTAGGATGCAAGAAAAAAAATTATATTTTTGTCTTTCCTCTTTCAAATTATTTTAAAAATATGTGCTTTATAATATAGTAGAGGCCCGGTGCATGGGGAGGGGGGAGCTCTCAGCCCGGCCTGCACCCTCTCGCAGTCTGGATCCCTCTGGAAGTCTGGGATCCCTCGGGATGTCCAACTGCCTAAACCAGCAGTTGGACATCCTCTGAGGGATGTAGCAGTGTGCCAGTTGGCAGGCGGCCAGGGAGGAGCCTGAATTGGGGCCAGATGCCAAGCCCTGAGCCTAGCTTCTGGCTGAGCGGCGCTCCCCCTGTGGGAACATACCACCAGGGGGCAGCTCCTGCATTGAGCATCTGCCCCCTGGTGGTCAGTGCGCATCATAGACCGGTTGTTTCAGTTCTGCTGTAACGGTCGCTTAGGCTTTTATTATATAGACTAGTACAGTGGTGGCGAACCTATGACACGCGTGTCAGAGGTGACACGCGAACTCATTTTTTTGGTTGATTTTTCTTTGTTAAATGGCATTTAAATATATAAAGTAAATATCAGAAATATAAGTCTTTGTTTTACTATGGTTGGAAAGATCAAAAAATTTCTGTATGTGACACGGCACCAGAGTTAAGTTAGGGTTTTCAAAATGCTGACACGCCGAGCTCAAAAGGTTCGCCATCACTGGGCTAGTACATGTGTGACAGCATGTGTATAATTTATGAATATTCATGTATTGTAGTTATGTGCCCAAGCATTTTTTTACTTGCACAAGGTGGGGCAAAAGTAGGTTTATAATTCATATGGAAAATAATATAATACTTACAACACAAGAAAAAAACACTGTTTTGTGTGCTCACAACTGGAAACCTACTTTTGCCCCACCTTGAAAGGTATGTGATCGAAAGTTTCTGAGAACATTTCCAGAAGTAGGCAAAGAGCTGCTGAAAATACAGGGCCTCCTCAGGAACTGCACAGCTGAGCTCTCTTGCTCTTCCTGGTGTTTGTTGTCATAGTCTAAAGTTAAGGTACTGTCCCTGCTGCCTGCTGTGGCAAATACCCCTTGTTTAGAATCACACAAAGCCTGGGGCAACAGCATAGGCCAGCTACCTGAATACACAGCTGTCTGTTGCTCTTGACCTGGGTAAATCCCCTACCTCTGCCACTCCGAGCTGGAATGTTTGCTATGGCTCTGTTGGGACAAACTTTATTTTGCCAAAGTTAAATGATCTGGTCTTCTTTGTCCACGTTAAAGTTTTGTTGTTTGGCATTGATTAACTTTTGCATCAGTATGAGTGTTTATATCCCACATCATCCAGAAATTTCTGTGGTTTTTTTTTTTTTTTTATGGTAACCTTCCTTAACACAGCTAAGTGATTTTTTTATTTTTAATTTTGTATGTATCATTTCAGTGAAATTTTTTGAGTGAGGGAAAGTGAACTAAAGGGTTCAGTTTGCTATCTTGAAACCAAAAGCCTGGCATGCTTTTAGATTTAAAAATAAAAAACCAAGAATATTTATCACTTAAGAACTATTGTTGACTCTTTCTGTAAAGCTTTTGAAATGTTAACAAACTCTCAGCTCCTCCAACTCTATTCCCTCATTTTATTTTAAATATAGATTTAAAAAAATATGCTATGCTAAGTGTTGGGACAATCCTGACTGTGGGACCTAGCTCACCACTTTATTTACTCTTAATACTTTTAGTGCCTACCTCAGGCTAATCATTCTTTGAGATGACATGTATATTAAGATAAATAAGGCAAATAATCTCTGCCCGTAATTTTAAACAGTCAAGGAGAATAAATAGATATACTGCTAATTCAGTTAATCATGATACGATACAGTAAATGTTCCAGGATAGGTGAGTACCATGGGAACGTCAAGGGACAAGTGATTCATTTTCTCTGGATAATAGGAGAGCTTAATTCACAGAAGGTATGTCAGTTGAGCTGAACCTTGAGGAATAAATTATTCAACAGGTGGTAAAAGTACAGAAGGAACATTCTAGGCAGAAGAAAAAGCATGAGCAAAGCCGTAGAAGGGTAAACTGCATGGCATGTTCCAGTAGTGGTTTCTTGCTCGGTGAGGGAAGAGCATACAGTGGTGAGTGAAGGGAAGAATGGGGGGGGGGGGGGGGGGTGAAAGCACCAGCTGGAATACCGGGAGCGTGGCATTTAAATTTTTGCAGTGACTCCTGTCACCAAAGTGGTACTGTTTTTGCCTTGCCTTAACCAGTCGTGTAGTTGTGAGGGTAGATTGAGCAGAGGGGTGCATAAATTCTTTTTCAAATTAGTGTTTTGGGTTTCTTTGGATAAATATTCAGAAGTGAGGTTGCTGGGTCATAAGGCAGTTCCATTTTTTTAGTTTTTTTGAGGAACCTCATGCTCTTTTCACAGTGACTCCACCAGCCTGCAATTGTTTTGGGGGAAAATTGAAATAGGAAAATGGGATTACGACAATTCTGTACCTGTTTCCCTAGACTCTTGTTATCTGTTGGGATCATCATGGGAGTGAGCAGGAAAAGGAGGTATAAAAAAATGGATCAAATAGGATTGAATTGACACTATCAAATTTAATATACAAACCTGAATTTAACTTTTTGGAAATGTTCCTCTAATTAGTATGTTAAATTTAGGAAAGAGCTTCTCTATAGCAAAGGCGTATACCTGTAATACCTATGTAGTTCTGTTTTTCTTTTGAAGTATAGTGCCATAGTTAAAGTATGAATGTAGAACTGAAATTGACTCTTTTTTTTTAAGGTGGTGAAAACTGTTGGTTTGCGCGAGGTCTGGTTTTTTGGGCTGCAGTATGTGGACAGCAAAGGTTATTCTACATGGCTTAAACTAAATAAAAAGGTAAAGTATGTATAATGGGAATGAATAAATATATATATACTAGAGGCCCGGTGCACAAAAATTTGTGCACTCGGGGGGGGGAGGGGGGTCCCTCAGCCCGGCCTGTGCCCTCTCGCAGTCTGGGACCCCTCGGGAGATAACGACCTGCTGGCTTAGGCCTGGTCCCGGGTGGCAGAGGGCAGGCCCAATCCCTAGGTGCAGCCCCTGGTCTGGCTCAGAGCAGGGCTGACTGGGGAGTTGGGGCGCCGCCCCCTGTCACACACAGAGCAGGGTCGATCAGGGGGTTGGGGAGCTCCCCCCTGTCACGCACAGAGCAGGGCTGATCAGGGGGTTGAGGAGCTCCCCCCTGTCACTCACAGAGTAGGGCCGATAGGGGAGTTGGGGCACCGCCCCCTGTCACACACAGAGCAGGGTGGATCAGGGGGTTGGGGCGCCGCCACTGTCACACTCAGGGCAGGGCTAATGGGGAGGTTATGGCTCTACCCTGTCACACACAGAGCAGGGCCCATGGGGGGTGGGGGGGGTTGGGGTGCTGCACCTTGTCACACACAGAGCAGGGCCGATCAGGGGGGTTTGGTCGCTGCCCCCTGTCACGCTGATCCTGGTGTTGGGAGGCCTCGCGGCTCCGCTGATCCCAGTGCTGGGAGGCATATTACCCTTTTACTATATAGGATAGAAGCCTGGTGCACGGATGGGGGCCGGCTGGTTTGCCCTGAAGGGTGTCCTGGATCAGGTTGGGGGTCCCCAGTGGGGTGCCTGGCCAGCCTGGGTGAGGGGATGATGGCTGTTTGCAGCTGGTCACACACCCTTCAGGGTGGGGGTCCCCACTGGGGTGCCTGGCCAGTCTGGGTGAAGGGCTGAGGGCCGTTTTCAGGCTGGCGGGTTACTGAAGCTCCCAACCTGTCCTTTTTTCCTTTTTTTTTCATTCTGGGCCAGCTTTAGCTCTGAGGCTCGGCTCCAGCTATGAGACTTCCACTGCTGAAAGCAGGTTTCTGGCCTTTGTTTACCCTTCTGTATTTGAAACAATGTTGCGGTCCTGCTGGCTGAAGCCCGGGGTTTTGTTTAGCTTCTATTTTTGTAACAAAGTTGCTTAGAGTGCAGCTGAGAGGCCTGGGTCTGCTCTCTCGGGTTGGAGGCGTGACTGCGGCGCGGACGCCGCAGCCGCCCTACCAGCCCCGGTCTGCGGGCGGGAGAGCAGGTTGGGGTCTTAGTCAGTAGGCGACAGCTGCGGTCATGCCCCGCCAGCCCTGGGTTGGGTCGCCCGCCATCCAGGTCACAGATAGCAGGCCTGGATGGCGGAGGGGCAGGCAGGATGGCGCTGTCCCATCCTGCCTGCAGTATGCAAATTAGCCGCCATCTTTGTTGGCGGTTAACTGCCATCTTAGTTGGCAGTTAATTTGCATATCGTCGTGATTAGCCAATGGGAAGGGTAACGGTCGTATGCCAATTACCATGTTTCTCTTTTATTAGTGTAGATGGTAGAGAAATCTGCTAATTAACCAGGACGCCATAACGGGTCCACGGGATAGGAGGAGGTTGCATGCGCAGCGTTGGGGATGGAGCGGCAGGGGCCTCCACGCGCCTGCTCTGGAGGAGGGGAGGGCCTGATCAGCAGCCGCCGCAGCTGCTTGAAAGCCGGGAGGGGAGACGGGCCCTGCCCGAGCTGGTGCAGCGGCTCAGGCGGCCCTGGAGCGGACACAGGCAGGGGGGCTGGGGGACGCTGCGAGTCAGGCATGGGTTCCAGCCCCTCGCGGAGTTGGTCCGACCTGATTCCCGCGGGGCCAGCGCTGCGCGAATCAGACCCGGGTCCTGGCCCCCCACGGGGCACCTCCTTGCGTGATTTCAGTCGCACGCTGGGCCTTAGTTAACTAATAGTTAGGCTACTCTGAGGTTAATTATCTTGAATTTGTGTCAGAAAAGCTTAGGTACTGATCAGGCCTCCTTTTGTAGTTATCTCTGGATCATTAAAGGTGGCATGCCTTTTAACTGAATAAGGTACCATCAACTTACCTTAGAAAAAGAAACGTTCACTTTTTCTATTTGAAAATTTACAATATAGGAAATATTATTAACATGTACTGTATAACAGTACTGACTTTGATTTAAACATTTGTAGCATAAGCGTCTCAGGAGAAGTTTCAGTTTGCTTACTAGATAGGATCTGTGAGTTATAGGTCATATTTGTGAGCATAGAATCTTTTCTCATATATTTTTTACAGGTTTAGAATCTAACAGATTTAGAATCTTATTGCTGTTTTACATCCTACTTCTAGAAAGAATTTGATGTGACTAGATTCAGTTATTTTGAACTTAAGATTTTTGTTGATTATACTTAAATTACTGTTCCAGGTGACACAGCAAGATGTTAAAAAAGAGAATCCTTTACAGTTCAAATTTAGAGCTAAATTCTTTCCTGAAGATGTTTCTGAGGAATTAATTCAAGAAATAACCCAGAGACTCTTCTTCTTGCAAGTTAAAGAAGCTATCTTAAATGATGAGATCTATTGCCCACCAGAAACCGCAGTCCTTCTGGCTTCCTATGCTGTCCAAGCCAAGTATGGAGACTATAACAAAGAGGTTCACAAACCAGGCTACCTGGCTAATGATAGACTCCTCCCCCAGCGGTAAGTGAAACATGTTCCTATGTTATATTCCCTGAAAAATTACATTTCAGAAGTTTGTAAATCGAATTTTTTTTTTTTTTTTTAGGTTTCAAGTTGTCAGGTGAATTGGAGTATAGTTTTAAAAATCATGACTTAGTAGCTACGTAGGTTTATATAGTCTGCAACTACTAAACCTTTTGCCTCTTCTCTCCTCGTTTCCACAAGATAAGCAATAAATAGAGATTTGAGCTTGGAGGATGCCGCTGTCACTGCTTGGTAAAAACACAGGCAGATGCATGTTTAATAAATGCTTCTGAGAATAATAAGTAACAGCCTGTGTGTCCTCCATAGAATAAAAATTCCGTTTCTAACTTAAAAAGGCATTTGAAGCCTAGTCTTCAGACTGACAGTCCTGTGCTGTGTTCTTATCTGCATACACTGCTGCCTCTGTAAGTTTAAAGTGGCATGGCATGAGAAAAAAAATCATTGGCAGGAGACCTAGATTTTGAGTACTAATTCTGCTCTTTGCTAGTTGTGTGATCTTTGGTGCAAAAACCCAACATCCCTGAGTCTTGAAATCTGAATCTGCATAATGGGGATAACAGTTCTGCTCTGCCTACCTTTTAGTTTATGACGACTGTACATGAACTGTACGGTGTACAGTTTTAGCTGTGAAGTGTGATACAAGTGTTAGTTGATAGCATTACTTAAGAAATTTAGGAAGTATAGCATCAGATATTACTTTTAACGATCTCAGTGCTTAATTGTAGCACACATGTCTCTGATATTAGAATATGTGTGGAGATCTTTTAGAACTGGAGAGAAGTTGTTACTGTTCTTAGTTCAAATTCTCAAGTTTTAAAATTTCCATTTAAATTCAAAACTATATATCTTTTAATCTTAAAAATTCAGTTCTGTACCACGTCTCATAGTAGTTAAGCTCTTAGATATAGCTTCTTTTTCAGGTACTAAATATGAAGAAAGATTAACCTACGTTATGTCTACTTTTATTAATTTCCTTTGATTTTAGGCATCAATGTTTATTTTCATCTAACAAAGTGTACTCTGTTGATATAAGCTTAATAAGTTATCATTAAGTGCAGTAGCTTTAATATTTGATTATTAAATATTAATATTGCAGTAATAGTTATCTTTGAAGGTAAAACAATGCATGTTGTTTACCAAAAGAATCAGGAATATGAGATACTTATAGTCTATGTGTTTGTCTGCTTTTTATTACTATTCTAACCCAAAATTCTTTCTCTCAGATTTTTAAAAATATGTTTTCATTGATTTTATTTTATTTTTTTTTAGAGAGAGGAAGGGCGAGGGATAGAGAGATAGAAACATCCATGAGAGAAACATCATTAGTTGGCTGCGGCCTGCAGCCCACCACTGGAGATTGAGCCCACAACCCAGGAATGTGCCCTGACTGGGAATCAAACCAGGGGCCTCTTGGTTCATGGGTCGATGTTCATCCACTGAACTACGCTGGCTGGGCTTCTCAGATTCTTTTAAGCACTGAATTAAGAAATTGAGTATTGGCACAGTAGAATTTCATTTCTGATAAGGTTTAGTTTTTATTTTTAATTGATGTATAACTTATATATAATAAAATGTACAGCAGATTAAGTTTTAAGCCAGTAGATAAGGCAAATATTATATATAATCAAAATTATCCTGAACAATTTAATTGTTCATCAAAAATAATTTTATCTCAACAAGTATATATAACATAGTTGTTCTTTCAGTGTTAATCAGATTCATATTTGGTTGAGCACCAGATGAATTAATTGGTTTACAGTTCATAGTCATGTGATTTTAAAAAATTGTAAACACTGGAATCACACGTAAGCACAATTTCTTATTTATTTTTTAAAAAACAATTTTTAAGTATTTTTATTGATCTCCAAGAGGAAGGGAGAAGGAGAGAGAGAGATAGAAACATCAGTGATGAGAAAGAATCATTGATTGACTGCCTCCTGCATGCCCCAAACTGGGGATCAAGCCCACAACCTGGGCATATGCCCTTGACCGGAATTGAACCTGGGACCCTTTAGTCTGCAGGCTGACGCTCTAACTTCTGAGAAAACTGGCTAGGGCCAATTTCTTATTTTAAATGCATGTGTGCTGTAACCACTCTATTTAAAAAGAAGATAGCACATGCTCTTTAAAATTTGATCTTTGCTATTGAAAGTACAGTCAGTTGGTCTTCAAGTTAATAGTCTGTGGAGAACTAATTCCAGCTATCTAAGATTAAAAGTGACTCACTCTAATGTTAGAATACTACTAATTTTTCAGTTCAGAATGGAGAAAATATTTTCACAGTGATTGCTAATTTCATGTTTGGTATATAGCACACTTTTACTCATTATCTAAGTATGAGGAATTAGTAATCAGAAGGTTATTTGGCAATCATAAATCATAGTAATTTGATGATTTTGATGGATGCCTTTAATTCTTACATTAAAAAACCCAGATAAGCCATCTGTTCTCCCACAGTAGAATTTAGTTTCCTGGTGATATGAATACTTAGCTCCACTAGATAGTACCTTTTTCCTTTAAAAAGAGCTTGATATACATAGATTTTTATATCCCAGATTTCTGACTTGGGCATCTGGATGGCTAGTAATACCCTTTTGACAAGGTGGCGGGTGGGCAAGGGGTGGGGGGGAGGGAGGAATACATTTCACAGGAGGGAGATTTCAGTTTTGAACCTATTGAGTTTGAAATATCTATAGTTTAATCAAGAGAGGGCTAGCATTCATTTGTCAATGTGTGTTCAGATCTTGGAGAGCAGTTTGAGCTATGATAGTTTTGGGAGTAATTAGCGCAAAAATGGGAATGAAAGAGATGGACCTTAAAGTCCTCTTGGACACACAGAATAAGAGAAAAGCATGGGATAGACCTTGTTGGAACTTTACTTTTAAGTACAGAGAAAGAGGCTCCTGTAAAGTATATTGAGATGAATACCAGGGGAGTGTTACATCATGGAAGCCAAGGTAAAAGAGTGCTTTAAGGTCAGCAGTGTCAAATAATACAAAGAGGTCGAGTATGAAAGCAACGAATGTGTCTGTTGGGAATAACGGTAAGGTGATGGGTAGTGACCTTAGAAAGAGCAGTTTCAGGAGAGTGTTGGGGAGTGAAGCCAGATTGTGGTAGACCAGGGGCAGTGGCCATGAGGTATGGAATTGAAGGGTAGTGAATATAGGCAGTTCTCAAATGAAGTTTGCTATTTAAAAGAAGAAATCTAGGAGTAGCAAAGCATGGGTTTGTAGACATGTTCTGTAAAAGATGGGAAAGAATTGATTTTTTAATATCCTGTACAAATTTTTGAGTACTCTTCAGTGCTGACAAGGGCATATAATGGTGAGCAATATCGCTGTGGTCTTTGCCCTCTGTAACACATAAGTATAGCTGCTAGTAATATAGGCAGGGAACAATAAATACGTCTCCTGCCATAAAGAGTGGAGTGAAGATGCTGAAGAAGTGGAGAGAAGTCATTTAAAGGCCCACATAGAGTAACAGTCAAGTTGGATAGATTGGCCTTAGGCGTGAAGAAGGGCTCTTTCTGGATAGAAGAAAAAGGGGGGAAGGAAGTTTTGGGTACTTGCAAATCATTCATGCATATTTAATAATACAAGAGCATTATGCAAAATACAAAAAAAAAAATGATATCTGAAATACAGGATATAAAAACCTATAGCAGAAATCTTAATGGCATCCAATTTAACCCATATCTTCAGATTTAGTTAACATCTGGATACCAGCAATTCGCTGAATTGATTATGCCTTCAAGGCTGTTTGCACTCCTGTTGGTGAGCAGGGGTCAGATAACAAGAGAAAGGATAGACAAGAAAAATGTGGAAATTTAAGTGCTCTGAAAAAGTCAAAACTCTTTCCCCAAAAAGCAAGGGTTTCAAAAAAGAATACATAGAGACAGGAGCAGTTTGTAATAAGAAAATAATGGTCTGAGACCCCATCCATTAAGGAATCTACTCTCAATACTCACTTGTCCAAGGGAATATTCACCCGAAGATTTCTTTGTATTGCCAAGAAGTTCCTAGGTTTTATGTAAACTTTTAATATAGCAAAACAATATTTTATTTAAAAATTTTTTTTTTATATATTTTATTGATTTTTACAGAGAGGAAGGAGAGGGATAGAGAGTTAGAAACATCGATGAGAGCGAAACATCGATCAGCTGCCTCCTGTACACTCCCTACTGGGTATGTGCCTGCAACCAAGGCACATGCCCTTGACCGGAATCGAACCTGGGACCCTTGAGTCCACACGCCAATGCTCTATCCACTGAGCCAAACCGGTTAGGGCACAAAACAATATTTTAACACCACAGCTTTTGCATCAATAAAGTAGGATTTGGGGATTCACCAATAAAGAAAGATAAATAATTATTATATGACCCAAAGAGAATAGAAGTACATACTCTATAGCTTGCATAATAGGTAAGTTATATGCATGTTGAATCTGCTGATTTGGTATTAAAAATCAGTTTGTGTGTTTTTATATTTGCATAATAAACACTGGAAGGATAAAACAACCTAATGAAAAGTTATTTGGAGGTTATGGTGGTGAGAAAAAGTATAACTTTTCACTTTTCAAAGTATTGCCTATAGAAAATTAAATTTAGCAGCACAAAAAATATATACAGTAAAAGAATTAAGGCCTAAGAATTCTGATTTTCAATCTGTTCTCTAATTTTTCCGTTAATATTGAGTTATTTTTCTTTTCTGTCCAATATTTTATTCATTTGAAACATTTGAATTCTTATAAACTATCTGTATAATAACTTCTAAAGCAAGTTATTTAAAATAATTTCAAAATCCTAGAAACTTTTTGTTTTTAGATAATTGTAGATTCGTGTGCGTTTTTAAAATTGTGGAAAGATCCTGTGTATCCTTTCAGCTCTCCCTTGCATAACTTCAGTACAGTATCACAGTCATAATACTGACATTGATACAATCCACCTAACTTACTCAGATTTCACCACTTTTACATGTAGTCATTTGTGTGTGTTTATTCTAGGCAGTTTTATTGTGTATAGATTTGTTTGGCAACCACCACAGTGAGGGTCTGATTCTAAACTTTTAAAGAGTATTGACTTTTCAGTTATAGGGGCATTTTCATTGGTGTGTTTTTTTTCTTTTTTTTATCGTAGTGTTTTGGAGCAACACAAATTGACAAAAGAGCAGTGGGAAGAAAGAATACAGAACTGGCATGAAGAACATAGAGGAATGCTAAGGTATTTGGATGGTTGTTTTCTTAGTGTTTTTCTCAAATTAAAGTATTTTTATTCTGTAACATTAATTATTACATCAGATTATCCTCAAAAGATCAGTTGACATGAATAAAGCACTGAATTTTAATTCACAGTATTTTTGCAATTTGCTATTACTCTTACTTAAACATATTGTAATAAGCTTTATTTCAACAGGGAAGACTCTATGATGGAATACCTGAAGATTGCACAAGATCTAGAAATGTATGGAGTCAACTATTTTGAAATAAAAAATAAAAAAGGAACTGAATTGTGGCTAGGTGTTGATGCTTTGGGTCTCAATATTTATGAGCATGATGACAAGTAAGTAAGTAGTGAACTAGTCATTAATCAGTTGGCTTGATTACCCTTACTGCTTTTGTCTAAATTAAAAGATTAGTTAATGTCTCATACTGGTAGGCTTTCATATATCATATTTTCATTGTCTCAACATCTTGCAGTTTTATTTTTTAATTTAAAAAGAAAAATATATTGATTTCACAGAGGGAGGGAGGGAGGGAGAGAGAGAGAGAGAGAGAGAGAGAGAGAGAGAGAGAGAGAGCGCGCGCGCAACATCAATGATGAGAGAATCATTGATCAGATGCCTCCTGCACACCCCACACGGGATGTAGCCCACACCTTGAGCATGTGCCCTGACCATGAATCAAACCCGGTGCACAGGTTGACTCTCAACCACTGACGACGCTCAACCAGTGAGCCACCTTGGCCAGGCGCTCAACATCTTGCAGTTTTAGATTTTACTTAGTGTATTTATTAAAATGAGAGGATTTATTTTTATTCTAAGTATGCTTCTTAATCCCTTATAAGTTATGTCTAATAACTCTTAAAATTTGTCCCCTCAATAGTTGAAGAATAATTCTTTAATGTCATGCCTGGCATACAAGTTGAAATTGAAATTAGCATCTATAAGAAATCAGGAGCAATGAGACAATGGAATTAAAAGATTTGTGATTTATTGTTTTGTGACACCTTTTTGTTGAACATTTATAGGAATTGTTTTGAATATTTTTGACATTATTAAAGTAGAATATCCCTGTGTTAAAAATATGTAATTTTATTTTGAAATTGACCAGGTATTTTTATATTAATATAAAATCCATCAAGCTCTTTCAGCCCTTTTCAGGAATGATAGCTGCTATTGCTTCATACCTTTCTTTGATTTATTTACCAAACCATATAAGCATTCAAGTCTGCCAGTAGCACCTTTTACAAAGGCATTTCTCTATTCTGGGTTGGCTCCAAAATTTTAGTTTTATTATTACACATATCTAATAAAACACACATTTCTAAGCATATACATGATGATTGGTATATTTTTTCATTTATGTTACAAAGCAAGTTAAAATGGTATATCATTCAGAAGGGAAAGTTTTGAAAAGCAAAAATAACTTTAAGACTATTAAGGCGTAGTCTTTATTTTTTTTCTTTTAAAAGTTATTAAATTAGTTTTCATCAGAGTACTCATTGTATATATAGATACAGATAAAGATGGGGAATATGAAAGAGGCAGGGTTAGCTCGGGGCAGGAGGGAGGGATTGGGGATTGTGGACAAAGGGTTCTTTGGTCTTTTATGTAATGGTTTAATTTCTTCTTCAAAAATATGTTTTAATGATTTCAGAGAGAGGGAGAGAGAGAAACATAGATGAGAGAGAAACATCATCTATTGGCTGCCTCCTCTATGCCCCCTACTGGGGATCGAGCCTGCAACCCAGGCATGTGCCCTAATCTGGAATCAAACCGTGACCTCCTGGTGCATGGGTCGATGCTCAACCACTGAACCACACCAGCCGGGCTACTTGCTTTTTATGATGAGAATGTATTTATTACTTATATTTCCTTTTTATAAATATATATTTTTATTGATTTCAGAGAGGAAGGGTAAAAGAGAGAGAAACATCAGTGATGAGAGAGAATCATTGATCGGCTGCCTCCTGCACGCCTCCCCACCAGGAATTGAGTATGCAACGCTGGCATGTGCCCTAATTGGAAATCGAACTGTGACCTCCTGGTTTATAGGTTGACACTCATCCACTGAACCATGCCAGTCAGGCCCAAATTTTTTTTAAAATAGGGTTCAACTTTAAAGGTTAGTTAGGTTCTTTTACCGTCTCTGTTACTGGTTATCTTTGTGACCCTGGTCAAATTATTAACTGAAATTTGTATAACTGCTAGGGTCACCTTACAGGATGGTTGTGAGAATTATACGAGAAAATTGCTTTAGAATTTGTAAAAGTAACATGTAAATATAGTGTATAATGTTACCTTAAAGGTAGTATTCTAACAGCCTCCCTTTTAAGTAGGTATTTTTGACTTACTTTGGTGGCCACTAGGGGACAGTATAAAGCATGCATATTGAATAAAGTGTTTTTTTGTAGAAAAAATTATTTGCTGTACTGCAGTCAGTCAGGTTAAGAATTGAAAGGACTATAAATAGATAGAAATTCATACTTTGTTATCAGAACACTGACTGAATATGCCTTTTGGCCAACAAGGTGTTACAGTCGTTTTGTGTTCTTGTTATTGGAAGCAGTGATGCATTTGATGGGCAGTCTGAAACAGTAAAATATATGAAAAGCAGAAACAAAATTACTTGTTCCAGTCTGATTTCCTAAATCTTTGTATGCAGAGAGGTAAACAGGGACATCTGTTTTATCGTCATAGAGTTAGAATTTAGTTCTATTCATCCAAACATTTGTGTATGTAAGTATTTAAAATTTTTTGTGGGAGATATGTCATATACGATAAAACTAAGTCTTTTATTTATTTTTCATTATTAATCCTTTCCCGAGGACATGCTGAGAGAGAGAGAGAGAGAGAGAGAGAGAGAGAGAGAGAGAGATCAATTAGTTGCCTTCTAAATGCACCCAACCAGGGATCAAGCCCAGGTATGTGCCCTGACCGGGACTAGAACTGGCAACCTTTCGGTGCATAGGACGACCGACGCTCAACCAACTGAGCCACTCCAGCCTGGTTAAAATGAAGCCTTTAAAAAAAATGTATTTATTGGTGAAAGTATTACAGATGTCCCCATTTTTCCCCCATTGACTCCCCTCCCACCCCTAATCCTGCCCCCTCCCCCCAGGCCTTCACTGCACTGTTGTCTGTCTGTGTACTGAAAATTCAGTTTTTAGTATATTTATAAATAATGCAAACATTTTCAAATTAAACAGGAAGGAAAACATTTTTTAATATTTAGTAACTTATGTCCATAATTCACACGAAAAGTTATACAAGCTATCTTTTTTCCCCCTCTCTTCTTAAACATATTTAAGCTTAATAGTTGTAGTATCTTGACTCTAAATAAAACCAGTGCAAACTCTCAGAGCTCAGTTTAACACTCTAGAACTAGATAGTTCTCTCTAGGTAATTTTAGGAAAATCAAGGTTCATGACACATTATGAATTTTTTTGGGATAGTTATTCTTTGTTTTATGTGATTTTAACTGATCAAATTTTCCCCTTCAAAGTAAATGTCAACAGTGTGTTGTGAGTAAGTTAGTACATTTTGAAAATCTGGAACTCTTAAGATTGGTCATTTGGATAAATTGGCCCCCAAAAATTGATAGGGATTTTGTCCATTGTTTCCTGCTTCTAACTAAAGGGATGCTCTCATTTTTTAAGGTTAACACCTAAAATTGGTTTTCCCTGGAGTGAAATCAGAAATATTTCATTTAATGACAAAAAGTTTGTTATAAAGCCAATCGACAAAAAGGCACCTGTAAGTAAATTTTTAAAATATGCTTTATGTATTGTAAACTTCTGTGACTTTGCTATGGTATTACTTGAAGAATGACATTGTTCATTTATTGAATTGCTCCTGAGGAATACTCTTTTTCACCTTGTATTGTATAATAAATGTTATTAAAAATTCAAGGTTCCAATTTTATTATACCATACAACTATTAGAGTTTTATTTTAGCTGAAATTTAACTATTAGCTATTAGGAGGTGGTTAAAAATAATCACCATTTCTAAGAAGCAATTTAGGAACGTTGGTGTTGGTGTTTGGAATGTAACAGAGGTACCCCTATTCTGTTAAAATGGATTTGCATCATGAATGTTGTATTTTTGTAATTGGAGGCCTTAAACTTAAATCTTTATATTTAAATAGATTCTTTGATTCCTGTAGTGTCAAACGTAGCTCGTATTCTGTCAGTTACTGAAAAGGCAAAAGATGAGAACAATTCTAGGTTAAAAAACTTGACAGCCTTGAACAAAGGACGGTTTTGAGATAAATGTGATAAAAATGAAAACAAACAAACCCTGAGGTGGAGGCACAGATACTAATAGTTACTTTGGAGAAGAAACAATAATAAATGACAGTTAATGTATTGAGACTATAAAATTATTATCCTCTTCACCAAACTGGTGGGGATTGGAAAGGTTGGGAACCAGTTATATGAAAGTATGGCATATTCATGAGAGATCAGAAACTTTATGATATCTAAGCTTGATGTAATGTGACGTAAGAATTCATGCCACATATTGAGATTTATCTACAGATTATTGTGTGAGAGACTGTCCTTTAGGAAGATTTTAAACTCAGAGTACTTTATGTTTAGGATTTTGTTTTTTATGCGCCTCGTCTGAGGATCAATAAGCGGATTTTGGCCTTATGTATGGGAAACCACGAACTGTACATGCGGAGAAGGAAGCCTGATACTATTGAAGTGCAACAGATGAAGGCTCAGGCTAGGGAGGAGAAACACCAGAAGCAGTTGGAAAGGTATGGAATTTATAGTTTTTCATACTCAAAATTGACATTTTAACGATGTTTTCATTGTATTAAAATTGAATGACAGTTATAATTTTCAGGTTAGAGATCTGAGTAAGTAGCTTTTCATGATTTCACAAATGTGCCTTTCCTTTATCATGCTTGCTTCTCACTGACAGATATTGGCTTGGATGTAGTATGAAATTTTCAAGTTGTTTTGTTTGTGACTTACATTTTTTAATTTTTCAGGATAAGACTATGCTGAATGTTTGGGTTTTTTGTGGTTTTTTTTGCAACAATGTCATGGACATTGTAGAACTCAAAAAGTCATTGTACAGAGTATAGTAATACCAGTTCTCACTATCAGTAACACTATCTTTTTAACCATGGTTCATTTAGACTTCAAAAGAAGATACTATCTATGATAATAAAAGCATAATGTGCTAATTAGACCAGACAGTCCAGACGAAAGCAAGGCTGCTAGGGCCGAGGCAAGCCACTGCCACTGCAAGGGCCAAGCCCCTTGCATGAATTTCGTGCATCGGGCCTCTAGTTAACTATATTAAATTGAGAATTTTTGAAATGGAAAGATTGAGTATAATTCTTGTTGAGCCTAGAGCCAGATTACTGGGTCTGAAACAAAATTCCCAAATCTGATTCTAGATTGATTGAAACTTTATGCTTTATTTGAAAAAATTTAGACACCAAACTAAAGTTAACCTTCATTAAAGAAATCTTTGCAGAATAGCATGATAATCTGTGAAATAGAGTAGGTTCAAAAGAAAACAGAATTGAGGAGACCTAAATATGTGTAGATTTACATATTTCAAACATACTAAAATTACATGATTTGAATCTAATAGGCTCTCTACTAAATATAATTTTGCTTTCTATTCTTTCAGTGTTTGTATTTAATGATGTATTTTTTTCTTAAATGTTCTGTGTAGTTCAGACCTTTTATTAATTCAGATTACTCTCTTCAGCTTACATGTGTTAGAGAAGTTTACTGTATTTAAAATATACTTTATATAGGCATGAAACTTTCTAGTAATTTAACTTTCATACCGTTAAAGATACTTCGTTGGATTTTTACTTTGACTGGGCTCTCTTTTTTACTGTTCTCAGGTGGTTTAGGATCACATGTGGCTCTAGTAATACGTATCTTTTGAAATAGTTCTTTTTTGGGCATTACTTTGTATATATTTAGAAATTACAGTCATCCTTCATGGGGGATTGGTTCTAGGACCCCCATAGATATCCATTCCCTTATATAAAACTAGAGGCCCAGTGTACAAGAATTGTGCACTTGGGGGGGGGGGAGTCCCTCTCGCAGTCCAGGAGCCCTCAGGTGATGTCCTACTGACGGCTTGGTGCTGCTGTGGAGGCGGGAGAGGCTCCTGCCACTGCCACTGTGCTGGCCAACCGTGAGCCTGGACTCTGGCTGAGCAGCGCTCCCCCTGTGGGAGCGCACTGACCACCAGGGGGCAGCTCCTCATTGAGTGTCTGCCCCCTGGAGGTCAGTGTGCGTCATAGTGATCGGTTGATTTGCAAATTAGCCTTTTATTAGATAGGATGGTGTAGTATTTGCATATGACCTATGTATGCTTTACATCATCTCTAGATTACTTATGCTATCTAATACAATGTAAATGCTATGTTAACACATTGTTTGCGGGTAGTTTTTATCGCTCGCTAACAGGTGGCGTGGGCCATTTTTGCTAATTTTTTGCGCAAATGGCAACGTTCAGTAAAATTACGATAACTTTAGTTTACGTATTTATACGTTACCCGCATTCTACCGCTAGTCTATAAAAAACGTATCCCGCGTCTATAAAATACGTGTCCCGTGCTCTACTACCAGTCAGCATAAAACGTATAAATACGTTTCCCGCATACAATGTGTTAATGTAATACTGTATTGTTTAGGGAAGAATGACAAAGAAGAAAGTCTGTACATGTTCTGTACAGACACAACCATTGTAGGCCTAACTACATAGTACACATCAGTGGATGAGGGACCCGCAGATACAGAGAGCAGACTGTGTTATTGCATACTCATCACTCAGTGTCCTGACTGCTCTGCTTATCTGTAATGTACATATGTTATTTATATTCTTAATATTTGTCTACTTGTTCTTTATTTCTTACATGTAGAGAGGAGTGCTATATGGTTTTAATATATGTAGTTTGGGTAATAAGTACCATTTGGAGGTCGTTTACTCTAAGGTCTAGATCAGTGATGGCGAGCCTTTTGAGCTCGGTGTGTCAGCATTTTGAAAAACCCTAACTTAACTCTGGTGCCGTGTCACATACAGAAATTTTTTGATATTTGCAACCATAATAAAACAAAGACTTATATTTTTGATACTTATTTTATATATTTAAATGCCATTTAACAAAGAAAAATCAACCCAAAAAATGAGTTCGCGTGTCACCTCTGACACGCGTGTCATAGGTTCGCCATCACTGGTCTAAGGTCTAGATGAAAGTGGAAGACTTTAAGTTTCTTTTTTGCCACAATAAGAATCCTATGGTTCCTCTTAGATAACTTGTATAGCCTTTCATTAGCGAGCATTGTACACAGTAGGAATTCAGTAACTGTTTAATTCACTTGAATGCCTAGAGGATGTTGTATATTAGCAACATAGAGATTTGGCAGGTGTTGGACATAGCATTCCAAGTCTTCATTTATTCCCTACTTTACAGGTCAGAGAGACAGAAATGACAGCTGTATATGTGGAAACAATTTTGGTCAAGCCCATTGGCAAAGTAGCCAGCAGACATACTTGGGGGAATGCTCGGAGGTATGCTGCCTGTGCTGCTGGACTCTCCTGGGCAGGAACAGTAGCTGGGAAGGGGCAGGCAGCAAGGAAGCTGCTTTCCCTGCCATACGTTGGTGTATGAGGTCCTCTTCTTTCCCCATGACTCTCCTCACTTTGGGTTTTCCACAATGAAAATGGTGTTAGGTGTTACATACCATGGGTTACTGATCTCTGTAGTCTGTGCTCTGAAGTTATTTACATCCAAATAGGTGATAATTCATTCTGTAATTCTGGATGTTTTTTGTATGGCTAAAATTGTTACTAAATTTAAAAACAAGTTTACAATTAGATTTACAATTTAGATTCAGGTACTTACGCGCCAGTTGGGATGTTTTGTGTCATGGCTGGCTGCCTATATCACTAGGACCCAGCTGGTGTCATACAGAGAATATAGGCTTTGGAACTAGATAAATCTGGGTTTCAATCCTCATCTACACTTGCTGAGAAAAACTCGTAAGCCACTATTCTTTTACTGAAAATAATAGTCCTACTTTCAAGGTTTTTTTTTTTATGAGAAATAATGACAGTGTTATACAAACATTTAATAAGTAGTAGCTATTAGGGTAATTCTTTCTTTTTTTCTCTTTTTTTAAAAATTTTATTCCTCACCCAAGGAGTGAGGATATTTTGCCATTGATTTTTAAAATGGATGGGCGGGGAGCAGCATTGACATAAGAGTGACACATCAATTGGTTGCTTTCTGCTGGCCCAGGGCCAGGGATTGAACCTGCAACTGAGATGTATGCCCTTGACCCTTTGGTCTGAAAGCTGACACTGTAGCCACTGAGCCAAACTGGCCAGGGCTAATTCTTAATATTATTAATACACTAGAGGCCCGGTGCACGAAAATCATGCACGGGGGGGGTGGGGGGGAGAAAGGGTCCCTCAGCCCGGCCGGCACCCTCTCCAATCCGTGACCCCTCGGGGGATGCCCAACTGCCGGTTTAAACTGGCAGTCAGACATCCCTCTTGCCATCTGGGACCGCTGGCTCCTGGCTGCCTAGCAGCCTGATTGCTGCCTAACTGCTCCCCTGCCGGCTTGATGGCCCCCAATTGCCCTTCCCTGCCGGCCTCATGGCCCCCACCTGCTCTCCCCTGCCGGCCTCATGGCCCCCAAATGCCCTTCCCTGCCATCCTCATGGCCCCCAACTGCCCCCCCCCCCCCCCCGCCGGCCTCATGGCCCCCAACTGCCCTTCCCTGCCAGCCTCATGGCCCCCAACTGCCCTTCCCTGCTGGCCTGATCGCCCCTAACTGCCTGTGCCTCGGCCCCCACCACCGTGGCTTTGTCCGGAAGGAAGTCGGACAGTAGGAAGATGTCCGGTCTAATTAGCATATTACCCTTTTATTAGTATAGGTAGTCTGAATAGAAGTTTTATGTTAGTTTTTAATCTTCACTTAAAACTGTAATTGGATCCATCTGATAGTCTTTAAATAGTAAGGTATTCTAACATATTTTTTGCATGTTAGTACAGAGAATTTATAGTTTATTAACATGTTATTTACACTCTTGAAATAGAGAAACTTGGTTTCCAAACATAAACTCTAAACAAAAATATTTATATCTATGATTTAGATTTACATTATTACACAAGAGGCTTCATGGGGAAAGTGGGACTTCACTAAGGCTTTAAACTTAGAAATAGGCTTGAGAGTTAGAGAGGGGGAAGATTCTTTCAGAAGAGGAAGCCAGCATAAGCAAACATGTAGAGATGAGAATACGCATGGCTTGCCTAGGGGCCAGAGAATATACCTGCTTGGTCCTCCTAATTGAACATTGTTTAGGGGAGAAGCAAGCTCTTCAGTTTCATGAGGGAGATAAGACAGACCTGTAAAACTAGGTTTAACCAAGAGATGTGGAGAGCCAAAGGCATTTGTTTTAATTGAATACAGTGTTAGTTATTGATGGCTGTAGTCAGGGGAGAATTCTTGTAAGATGTGAGACATAAGCTTCATAAAAGTGCAACAGAGTAAACTGTGTATGTTATTATAAATATTATAATCAGTAAAATATCTGCTGCACATTTATTCCATTTTTGGTACAAAGACTAATCTTCCCACTCCCTAACTTGTTTGTGGCCAAGTTACCTTCATTCTTTTTTTTTTCTGTTTCCATATCTCCTTACCTCCATCCTTGAAGAAGAATGAATTAAATGTCAGTAGGGAAAAATTAAATGAAACCAGCACCCAAGAATTAATGGATATTATTGTAGCCTTTAGGTCTTGAGATCTGGTTTGTGGTGTGGGCCTCGGGGAGGGAGGGAGGACTGTGACAGAGGCTGGGAGGCTAATCAACATCAAGGGCAAAAGGCAGCTTGGCATGATAAAAGAGTTCCTAGAATCTTAAATGCTGTGAGGTTTCATTCAACTAGTAGGGAGATGTGGTGACTCCTAATGTTTGGTTTGGTGCGTAGGAGATCACCATTAGTTATCTGTCTTACTCTTGCAGACTTGTCACAATTCTAGCTGTTTACCCCAAAGCTGGATCCTCTTTATTGGAGGCAGATAGGTATGTAGGAGTTGCAGGAATTTTTAAACTTGGGTTTTACAGGGTAAAGGAAAATGATGAAACTTTGCTGATAACATTATCAGAGCCTGAAAGTTGAGAAACTACATGGCTTTGTGCCTGGCATTCAGAATGACATCAGATGGCAGTGATGTCTTTTTTGGGGAGTATTTAGACATATTCAGGTAAGTTTGAGAAATGAAAATGTCCATTTTTAACTAAAGAAAATTATTTCGATTAAAGTAGTGGTGATATTGAATATTGATTAAACTTATTAAATGGTAATATTTCTGATGATTAATATAACATCTCACCTAATTCTTATTTATCTTTATATTTCTGGCCCTCAACATGCAGGCAGACCCATTGTAGGTTCTTGGTAGATGTTCAGTGAGTAAATCTGACTGTATTTAAAAGAAGCTGTCTCATTAGGCCCATGGCAGATGCAGCTAAATGAGGGAGGCTGTCTTTTCCACCTAGCTTTCATGACCTTTTAAAAATAACAGTAGATACCTACCTCATTCTAATGGAATTGTCAAAGTAGACATAACTGATTTGTCATCTTGTATCTAAACATGAATTGAATCTACTGTAGAAATTAAACTTACATTAATTTATTAATGATTGAAAATTGATGCTCTCCCAGTATTTTACTGTTTAAAATAAAACAGCCTTGTGTGTTCCCTTGAAGTTCCTGCTAATAAGCTAAAGAAGTAATATTTTTAGTATGTCAACTGTGTAGCTAACTCCTTTTGTGCTGACCTCTAATTTATTGTCAAAGTTCATGGAGTATGCAAGTGATAAGTCTACTTCCTTTTTCTCCACACAAGTTTGCATTAAAAAAATTCTGTGCATGCAAGGGATGTAGTTGACAGTTTTACTTTCCTAGAAGTTTTGAAAATTTGTCCTTTGAGTCTCGAAAATGGCTGTTTTTAATATTTTAAAAATAGTGATTGACTATATTTATTGTGACCCCACATTAAGAAACACATAATAATCCAGTATATGTGTATGTAACAGGGTACTCCTGTATTTTTTTTTTAAATCCTTATCCAAGGATATTTTTTCCATTGATTTTTAGAGAGAGTGGAAGGGAGAGGGAGAGACAGAGAGAAACACCCATGTGAGAGAGACACATCGATTAGTTGCTTCCTGCATGCTCCCAATGAGGGCAGTGGCCTGCAACCAAGGTACATGTCCTTGACCGGAATCAGACCTGGGACCCTTCAGTCTGTGGTCCAATATTCTGTCCACTGAGCCAAACTGGCTAGTAGATTTTTTTTTTTTAGGGTAAGAGCTCCTTTTTTATTTATTACTAGAGGCCCAGTACACAAAAATTTGTGCACTCGGGGGGGGGGGGGGCATGTACCTTGGCTGCGGGCACATCCCCAGTAGGGGGCATGCAGAAGGCAGCTGATCGATGTTTCTCGCTCATCAGTGTTTCTAACTCTCTATCCCTCTCCCTTCCTCTCTGTAAAAAATCAATAAAATATATTAAAAAAAAAAAAAAAGAATCATTGATTAGCTGCCTCCTGCACACTCACCCTGGGGATGTGCCCTGACTGAGAATTGAACCCTGATCTCCTGGTTCATAGGTAGACACTCAACCACTGAGCCACGCTGGTAGGGCATGTATTTTTAGCAATATGCTTTTTTGAACACAGCTGAGTATAATGAAGACATAATATTCATGCTGTAGTTTCTTTTTTAAAAGTCTTCATTGTTGAGTATTACAGATGTCCCCCAATTTCCCCCAATTAACCCCCTTCACCTGGTTCCTGCCCCTCCCCAGGCCTTTACCACCCTATTGTTTGTGTCCTAGGTAATGCATAATCCATATATGTATATAAGTTCTTTGGTTAATCTCTTCCCGCCCATCCCCTCCCCGTCCCCCCCATGTCTCTGATTCTGTTCATTCATCAGTTTATTTTGTTCATTAGATTCCTTGTTCCTTTATTTTGATTTTTTGATTCAATTGTTGATAGATATGTATTTATTGGCATTTTATTATTTATGTTTTTTATCTTTTTTCCCCCCCTTTCTTCTCTTAGGTGTTTGTGGGTTTTTTTGTTTGTTTGTTTGTTTTTTTGTCCGTGAAGCTCGTAATCTGACCTTCAATTCTAAATGATAGCTTTGCTGGGTAGAGTAATCTTAGTTGTAGGTCTTTGATTTTCATCTCTTTGAATATTTCTTGCCACTCCCTTCTGGCCTGCAAAGTTTCTGTTGAGAAATCAGCTGACAGTCATATCAGTGCACCCTTATAGGGTAACTAACTGCTTTTCTCTTGCTGCTTTTAAGATTCTCTCTTTGTCTTTAACTTTTGGTATTTTAATTATGATGTGTCTTGGTGTTGCCCTCTTTGGGTTTCTCTTGTTTGGGACTCTGTGTGCTTCCTGGACTTGTAAGTCTATTTCTTTCACTAGGTAGGGGAAGTTTTCTGTTATTATTTCTTTAAATAGTTTTCAATATCTTGCTTCCTCTCTTCTCCTTCTGGCATCCCCATGATGTGAATGTTGGTACACTTGAAGTTGTCCCCAAAGCTCCTTACATTATCTTTATATTTTTGGATTCTTTTTGCTCTTCTGATTAGGTGATTTTTGCTTCCTCATATTCCAAATCACTTATTTAATTCTCAGTAACCTGTACTGCTGATTTCCTGTAAGTTATTCTTTATTTTAGTTAGTGTATCCTTCATTTTTTACTGTCTTTTTAAATGTTTTTTATGTTACTACTAATTTCCTTTGAATTCTAAGATCCTTAAAATTCTCACTAAGTCCCTTGAAGCTCTCATTAAGATCCTTGAGCATCATTACAACCATTATTTTGAACTCTGTTTTTAGTAGTTTGCTTGCTTCTATTTCACTTAGTTCTTTTTCTGGAGATTTCTTCTGTTCTTTCATTTGTGACATGTTTTTTGTCTCCTCATTTTGGCTGCTTCCCTGTGTTTGTTTCTGTGTATTAGGGAGAGCTGCCATGTCTCCTGGAATTGGTAGAGAGACCTTGTGTAGGAGGTGCTCTGTCTTGCCCAGTTGCTCAGCCTCCACAGTCATCTGAGCTGGTCACTCTATGTGAGCCCCTCTGTGGGCTGTATGCCCTGTCTTGTAGTTGAGCCTTGATTGCTGTTGGCATCATTTGGAGGACTTGACCTCCAGACCAATTGGCTGTGAGGACCAACGGCGACTCTAGCGGAAGAGCTGCTGTGCAGGAGACACCCTTATGGAGCAGATGCTCACTAAGTCTGCTCGTTGAGTGTGTCGCTTGTGAATGTGTAGAGTTGTAATCTGGCATGGTCTGAAGCTGTCCACCGGGTGCACTGGCTCTGGGGCTTCCTTGCAGGTGCATAGTCAGCTACTGCCGGTGCCCCGTCTCAGGCCATCCGTCAGGAGCTACAGAGCAATCTGCTGATGGCTGCTACTTGTGTTGGGGTTAGAAGTGCCCATGAGAGACCAAGCTGTGAAGCAAGGCAGGCTGCTGCTAGTGCTGGGCCAGGGCCTCATATTGAGAGGTATGGGACACACTGATGCCAGCTCTTGCTTATTTGAGAGATTTGAGCAAACTTTGAAGCCTGAGCTAGGACAAACCATTCATATGGAAAAACTGCTACAGACAGCTTGGGTGGGACTGTAAATTGGGTGGGGTGGGGCCTCAGGGAATCACCAGGGCAGAGGGAACAGTGTGAGCCAGGTGGATGGAGACTCAGATATGGCTCCTGCCAGTCACCTTTCCGACGAGGGAGATCTCAGCATAAGAACAATTATGCCTATGAACACTTCTGTCTGAGAGAAAGCTGCCTCTGAGCTCTTGCTCTGATGCCAGACAATCCAGTTTCTTCCTATATGTCCCTGGATCCCCCCAAGTCGTTACCCCAGTGCAAGAGCTCAGAGAGAGCAAGTCCAAGTAATTCTGTGCACTTGCCCTTTAAGAGGAACTGCCTGGGACTCCATTAGCCTCTGTTACTCAACTACAAACCGCACTGGTTTTTACAGCCTGAAGTTACATGAACTTCTCTTCCCAGCTCTGGAATCCTGAGCTGGGAGTCTGGTGTGGGGCTGGGACCCTTTACTCCCCATGGGAGGCCTCTGCAGCCAAGATATTCCTCCCAATTTAAAAAAATTCCACACGTGGGTGTCAGACCAGCCTCTTCCATGCCTGTGCCCCTCTTACTAGTCTCGATGTATTTTCTTCACTTCTCTAGTTGTAGGACTTCTATTCAACCAGCTAGCAGGTTGTTTTGAATGATGGTTGCCCTGTATTTTTGTTGTGATTTTGATGTGGTTGTGGGAGGAGAGGAGTACCTCATTTACCTACCTTGCCATCTTGGTTCTTAGATCCTGTAGTTTCTTCTTAGTTGATTCACAGTACTTAGGCTTCATGTGAATATTTCTAGTTATTAATTTGTAACAAAGCAATTGCAATTCCTTTTAAGGGCGCAATTAGAGAATGAAAAGAAGAAAAGAGAAATAGCAGAAAAGGAAAAGGAAAAAATAGAACGTGAAAAGGAAGAACTAATGGAACGTCTAAGGCAAATTGAAGAACAGACATTGAAAGCCCAGAAAGGTAAAAGTCGCTTTTTGACATTGGATTCAAAATTGTTGTTCTTTTGTTAGGTGTAGTATTACTTAAATAAGTATTTTCAAGTGTACTATTACTCTATATTGTAAATGACTATGCATATTAGTTTATTTCTCTTGTTCAGGGTTCCTTAAACAAGAACACTTTTCAATACTTCCTAGCATTTAAACAAAAGAATTTATGCAGTGCTTTATGGAAACTTAAATTCCTTAAGACACCTAAGTATTTTAAGGCATTTTTAAGCTATTCTGACTGTAAACTCTTTTGGAACTCAGTCTCTAAATTTGATTTCAGTATATTTAAAAAATACACAGCACAACAAAATTCTGCAGTTTAGACTCTGGCTAAGTAACTCAGTTGATTAGAGAGTTGTCCTGATATGTCAAGGTTGTGGGTTTGAGTCCCGGTTAGGGCACATACAAGAGTCAACCAATGAACGCATAAATAAGCAGAACAACAAATCAGTTGTCTTTCTAAATCAATAAGTAAACACTAAAAAAATACTACAGTGTATGGAAAGGTTAGATTGGATTTGGAGAGAGTGGTTTATATTAAATACCTCTAGGATTTACTACATTCAAAACAACAAATAGCGGGGAGGACAAAAGAAAAATGGTGTTGAGCAAAGTAAGAGGTTTTCCTGCTTACTAAGGAGTAGTATCTCGGGGCTAACATGAAATCTACGCTTTATAAAACTAGAATTAATACCTGCTTTCCTGACAACTCATAGAATCAGCCATTAGTTCTGTTTGAAATAGAATAAGGGTATTATTCTATTTAAGGTTTATTAAATAATAACCTTGAATAAATTTTATTTTCATTCCTTACACCAGCCTCCCATAGTGGGGAGTTCTCTTGAGCAGTCCGTTAGTAATTTGCAAATGGGGATCTAGAGAAGGAAGTCACAGAGATTGCTATAAATCCACAAACTGGTTGATCATTCCAATTTCTAAGGAGATTATAAACGATTTCTAAGGGTAAAAAACATGGCCTTTTTACTGGCTCATTAGAAGCCTCACTTCTTAGAGCTAAAGACCTAGGAACTATTTAGTTCAAACTCCAGAGGAAGCAGAGACTTGTTCACAGGCCACAGCCCAAGGACAGAACTTGTTTCCTGAATTCCAGCTCCATGTTGTTTCTGCCATATCAGATGCCTCTTTCATTAATTTAAAGTGGACATTTATGAAGTGAATTTTATTCTGCATTTTAGGAATACAAATAGTGTGCATGACAGTGAAGTCTGTGGTTGGCAGATATAAAAATATTAACACATAGAGGTATGAGTGCTAAGTGCCATGTGAATTGTATAAGCAATACTTTTTGAGGAAGAATGCTGTAAAAACCCTGGAATAGCCTATGTGGGTGTGGCTCAGTGAGCATCGACCTATGAACCAGGAGGTTACGGTTCAATTCCTGGTCAGCGCACATGCCTGGGTTTCGGGCTCAATTTCCAACGTGGGGTGTGCAGGAGGCAGCTGATCAGTGATTCTCTCTCATTGATGTTTCTATCTCTCCCTCTCCTTTCCTCTCTGAAATCAATAAAAATATTTTTTAAAAAACTACAAAAAATCCTGGAATATACCAAGTGTGTTTTTAAAAAAACATTTAAAGAAATTTATGATATTGGTCAGATTTTAAAGAAAAAATTGAATGATAGCACTTTTATTTATATAATACCTTCTCTGAGAGAATAGCTACTTACTAAATCCTTTAATCTCATTTATTTAGGATGTATAATAAACATAATAATTTTCACACAGAAAACTACTCAAACACTAAGGAATATAAGGAAAATAGAACTTAAGAATATAGAGCATCCCTATTAAGATAATTTTAAGTCAGTCATCTTAAGGCAAAGGGCATTCATTTTTTTTCCCCTAATAATGAAGATTTTCCAGGCTGTACTAAAATCTGTATGATTGTCTTGTAAATTATGCTAAAGTCTCATTCAAATGCAGTAATTCTGGCCATATCTAAGTCCTGATGTTTAGTAGATAAACCCATAAAAAAATATTTTTTAAAAATATATTTTATTGATTTTTTTAGAGAGGAAGGGGGAGGGATAGAGAGTTAGAAACTTTGATGAGAGAGAAACATCGATCAGCTGCCTCCTGCACACCCCCTACTGGGGATGTGCCTGCAACCAAGGTACATGCCCCTAACCGGAATCGAACCTGGGACCCTTTAGTCCCCAGGCCGACTCTCTATCCAGTGAGCCAAACCGGCTAGGGCCCATAAAAATATTTTTGAGAAGAAACTTGTCTATACTTTATTATTGTCATTTTATTTTTAAAAAATTTGTTATATTTTATGTATTTTTTGTTAGTCCTCACCCAAGGATATTTTGTTCATTGATTTTTAGAGAGAGTGGGTGAGAAGGAAGGGGAGGGAGAGAGAGAAGAGAGAAATATCTATGTAAGAGAGACACATTGCTTGGTTGCCTCCCACGTGTACCTAGACTGGGGATGGAACCCGAGACTGGGTATGTGCCCTGACTGAGAATCAAACCCAAGATCTTTGTGGATATAGGGCAATGCGCCAAATAACTGAGCCACAGGGTCCAGGCAGGTCTCATGGCGCAGTTTTCAGTTGCATTTTTTGTGTTTTTATTGTTGAGATGTAAGAATGTTTTATGTATGTGGATAAAAATCCTTTATCAGATATCAAATATATGATTTGCAAATATTTTCTCCCATTCAATGAATGTGTTATCTTTTTACTTTGTTGATAGTATTCTTTGAAGCTCAGTGGTTTTAAATTTGGTTGGAGTCCAGTTTATTTATTTTTTTGTCCTTGTTGCTTGTGATTTTGGTGTCATGCCTTGTCTGTTTTTGTACTATGGTGAATTCATGCACTCTTATGTTTGGCTTTTTTTTTTTTTTTTTTTTGCTTAAACTTGTTTATGTAGCTGTACTTTGCTCTTTTACACTGTTGTGAAATATCCTATTGCACATTCTACTGGTGATGGACCTTTGGGATATTTTCTGTTTGGGCTTATTATAAAACTAGAGGCCCGGTGCACGGATTCGTGCACATTGTCGAGAGCTTTATTTGTATCGCACATGCGTGAGTCAGCGTTTATTTTTAAATTGCCAGTGCACATCATATGTACTGGCTGGTCAGATGGACGGACAGTCAGTCACTTAGCCTTTTATAGATAGATAGATAGATAGATGATAGATAGATAGATAGATAGATAGATAGATAGATAGATAGATAAGGCTGCCATGAGCGCATAACACATATGTATTAATTTTGGGGGAGGTATACCCTAGGAGTGGAGTTGCTAGATAACAGCTCTACTCAGCTATAGAAGACACTGCCACCATTTTTCCAGTGTTGTATCAGTTTTCTTTCCTACCAATAGTGAATGAAAGTTCATTTGCACTGTATCTTCACCATTACTTCCACTACTTGTTATTGTCAGGGTTTTTGTTTTGTTTTGTTTGCTTAGTCATTCTAGTGAATACAGTACATTTTCTTGATTATTTTGAGCACTTTTGCAAATGCTTGTAACTATCTGTGATGTGCCCTTTCACATCTTTGTCCATTAAAAAAATTTTGATTTTTCTTCTTTTTCAGATTGATGTAGGAGTTCTTTACATGTAGTGTAAAACATATTCTTTGTGTGGTTTACATTTTTACTTTCTTAAGGGTGTCTTTTCATGAAGACTGTTTAATTTTAAGTTCCATTTACCAAACTCTTTATAGTTATATGTTATTCTGTACTACCTTCTAAATGCTTTGTTTTGCCTTTCACATTTAGGTCCACAATCTATATGTAACTGATTTTTGTAAGGGTTAGGGTTTTCCCAGGCATAGTTCCAGTTCACCCAGACTCACTTTTTGCAAAGACTGTTCTTTCCCTAATGCACTACAGTATCGCCTTTGTCATAAATTCAAAAGAATGTATGTGTGTGGGTCTGTTTCTAGACTCAGTTCTGTTCCACTTACTTATATGTCTACCCTATTGCCAGTACCACACTGTTCAATTACCAGTTGTATTTACAAAGATTTTCATCTGACATCTTGTAAAGGAATAATAGGTGTCTAACAAAACACATGCAATAAATGTACAGTGATTGTCAAAGACTAGACAACTCTTGGGCTTACATATTACTTAGATTTTACATTACCTTTTATGGCATTAACTAGGGGCCCTGTGCATGAAATTCGTGCACTGCGGGGGGGCGGGGTCTATCAGCCCAGCCTGCCCCCTCTCACATACTGGGAGCCCTCAGGGGATGTCCTACTGATGGCTTAGGCCTGCTCCCTGCTCCTTTGGGGAGCAGGCCTAAGCCGCAGTCTGGCCTCCCTTTGTGGGAGGCGACCTGGCTGATCAGGGGAAGGCACCAGCCCCATCACCCTGCTGCTGCAGCCACTGCCAGTCACCGCAGCCACCAAGGTGTTTTCATCAACACGGGCTCCAGTCCCTTCACCACGAAAAAATGACAACTTCCTTTAGGCATTTTTAAGATGTGTCTTTCATAGGATATGACATTTATTTCTTTCTTTATTTTTTTTTATCCTCACCTGAGGATATGTTTCCATTGATTTTTAGAGAATGTGGAAGAGAAAAGGAAAGACAGAGAGAAACATCAAAGTGAGAGGAACACTTTGATTGGTTGCCTCTTGCATGAGCCCTGACCTGGGCCCCGGCCAGGGTGGATCCTGCAACCTAGGTACATGCCCTTGGTCAGAATTGAACCCAGACCCTGCGGTCGGCAGGCTGAGGCATTATCCACTGAGTCAAACCGGCTAGGGCAGGATATGACATTTCTTAGCCCTCCAGCAGAGGACCTTCTTTTTTTCTCCAGGAGTGAGGTGGAAAAACCCTAGATCACCTTTTGGATTCTTATTACCCAAGTTACTAAGAATATTACCAGTGGCATACTGGGAGCTTAGCCAATGAGTGGTCAGAAAGGTGTTTTCTCTGTAGTTCACACCGATTGCCGGCTCTGCCCCTGCCCAGGCCTAAAGCCTCTCTGACCCCCCCCCCCCCCCCCAAACACTCCGATCGCTGGCTCTGCCCCTGCCCAGGCCGAGAGCCTCGGGGCCTGGGCAGGGGCCCCCCAGCTCCCTCCGATTGCCAGCTTTGCCCCTGCCCAGACCTAAAGCCTCGGGGCCTGGGCAGGGGCCCCCCAGCTCCGTCTGATCGCTGGCCTTGTCACTGCCCAGACCTAAAGCCTCAGGGCCTGGGCAGGGGCCCCCCAGCTCCCTCTGATCGCTGGCCTTGTCACTGCCCCCTCGGCTCTGATCACAGGCCTGGCCCTGCCCAGGAGCCCCCTGGCTCATGCCCTTCCTAGGCTGCTCAGGGCCTACCTCAGAGTGACCTGGGTGCTGATGATGTTCCAGGGACCCAGGCTGCTGGGCACCTACGTATGCAAATTAACTGCCATCCCCTTTTTTTGGGTTAATTTGCATAGTCACTCTGATTGGCTGGTGGGTGTAGCGTAGTGACATCAGTTTGCATGTTTGTCTATTATTAGGTAAGATTATTGTTGCACATTGCACACGTTTATAAATTATAATCCTAAAGTTGAGAAAAGGAAAATAATTGCTTGACAAGTGTTTTATAGGGAGTCATTGAGTTTATGAGAGGACAAGTTAAACCTCCAGAAGAGTTTAATGTCTGCCAAGACTGGGCTCCTTGGTGGAAGTCAGCAGTTCAGACCTTCTGCTTATGTTGCAGCATGTTCCCTCTCCTCCTGTTGTATTGCTAGGTGATGTATTTCCTGGGCCATTCCTCGTTGGGAGTTTTCTCTCTGTTTACTGTGTTAGCTATCCTTCCCCTCTCATCTTCCATAGCCCCCCATTCTATTTATTCGTAATCCTTTTCTGAATAGAGAGCTTCTGAAGAGGAAGTTCTGGAGGTGGGGAGTCCAAGAGGAAGATCAGTTGTTCGGATGCCTTTGCTGCAAACTTCTGGGAGCTGAAGATATCATCACAGTTTCTGAATGCAGCTTTTTTGGGGGGATTTCCCACCTCTCAAGTCTGGCTTTTAAGGATGTTCTTTCCTTATCCTTTCCTCCTTGGCCACAGGAGGAGCTTCCCATGCTCTTTATTTTACACTTGCAGTTTTGCTGATTATTTGGTGGTTATAAATATTTTATCTTTTTTGGGGGGTGGAGTTTCAGTGCATGATTCTAGTGGCTCAGTGTTTCACTAAAATACATTTGGTAGTGTATCTGGGTCTGTGTCAAAGAACTCATGAATTTTTAGTAGATGTTTCTCTGTGGATGGGCTTTGGATTATGAACCTAAATGTTAGAGGTAAAATGAAGTTTCTAGAAGATAGGGAAGGAGAATATGTTCAAACCATAAGGTAAAGATTGGTACATTGAGCTTTATTGTTATAAAGGGCGCTCTGGCCCTTGGCATCTTTTAAGGGGGTTTGTAAGATGTGTGAAGATCATTTCCTACATTATTGTAAGTGTTCCTCTGGACTTGGATCCTTTCTTCACGCTTTGCTCGTTTCCCGGCTCTCCTAGATAGTCATCAGAATTATTATAACGTCCGTATTTGCTAACTCCATTACAGTCTATACATATAAAAGCCTAAGTGACTGTTCGCTTGTTCTACCGGTAGCTATGATGTGCACTGACCACCAGGGGGTTCTGCTCCACCTCTATCTCTATTCCACTCTACTAGGAAGAGACCACCAGGGGGTAGACACTCAACGTACAGGCATGGAAACATGGAACAGACTCATGAATCTCAGGGAAGTGGGGAGGGAGAAGGGGATTCGTGCACCGGTGGGGTCTCTTGGCCTGGCCTGCGGGGATCAGGCTGAATCCGTGCACCCAGTCTCTGACATTCCCCGAGGGGTCCCGGATTGCGAGAGGGCACAGGCCAGGCGAAGGGACCCACCAGTGCACGAATCCGTGCACCGGGCCTCTAGTCCATTATAATACTGGATAATCTATGGGCCTAGTCTATAGTCTGTTTTTTTGGTCCCATGTCCTGGTATGCTTGGTAATTTTGGTTGAATGCCTGCCATTGTGTATGAGACTGGGTGATGATATTTTCCTTTAGAGAGACTTTAATTTTCCTTTGCCTGGCAGAATATGTGCAGGTTATCTTGATGGAGTTGAACTGGGTCTCAGGCTTTGTTCGGTTGGTCTCTCTGGTCTGTAGTCCTTTGGGTGCCATCTGAAAGACTGCATATTTGTGAGGGTCTTTGTATCTGAACTCCAACCTTGGATTCTGCAGCTGCAAGAGAGTGATGATCTCTTTGCTCAGCTGTTTAGCCTTACAGCTGCCTTTTCCTTGTTTAGCAGTGTCTTAGCCATATGTGTATATTTTAGGAGTTGAAGGGAACAAACATCTTGAAGGGAAGTAGCAAACAGATTTGGGGACTTTTCTATTCACTCCTCTTCAGGATCTTGGCATCTCAAGCTTGGCTGCCTTGGCAGCCCCAAAGTCTAAAGAAAATCTGTCTTCTCCGCCTGGTAGATCCCTGCTGGCCTCCTCTGGGTTCTGCTCCACCTCTGTCTCTATTCCACTCTGCTAGGAAGAGGGCAGAGGGAGGGTGATGGAAGGAGACTTGACACTCTATACAGTATATAGACAATGTAGTACAGAATTGTACACTTGACACCTATGTGGTTTTATTATGTATTAATTTGTATTATGTATTAATTAGTGCCGCCCCAATAAATTAAAAATTACAAGAAAAGCTTTGGAAAGATTATTATTATTTGGGTTGATTCTCACCTGAAGATATTTTTCCATTGATTTTTTTAGAGAGAGTGGAAGGGAGAGGGAGAGACAGAAAGAAACATTGATGTGAGAGAGAGACATCAATTGGTTGCCTCCTGCATGCACCCCGACCAGGGTTGGGTAACCTGCAACAGAGGTACATGCCCTTGACCTGGGACCCTTCAGTCCACAGGCCAATGCTCTATCCACTGAGCAAAACCAGCTAGGGCTGGAAAGACTATTTTTTAAAAAACAGTTGTGCGGATTTTCATTTCTTTGTTAAAATTTTTAAATTGTAACAGATTTTTAAAAAATTACTAGGCTTCTTGGTAAGTTAAAAATGAAGTATATGTTCGTTTGCAGATGTGCTAATTTTTAAAAAAACTATACAGATTAGATTCCTTGCTACTATTTTGGCTTTTGATAATGAGCATAGTTGGAATTAACTGTTGTTGGGGGTGGCGCTTGCATATATTTACAGAACTAGAAGAACAGACTCGAAAAGCTCTGGAATTAGAACAGGAACGAAAACGAGCAAAAGAAGAGGCAGAAAGGCTGGAAAAGGAGCGTCGAGCTGCCGAAGAGGCCAAGTCAGCTATAGCTAAACAAGCTGCGGACCAGATGAAGAATCAAGAGCAGCTGGTAAGGAGCCTCAGCTCCGTCTTAGAGAAAAAGAACAGTATAGACAAAAGCGGGGCGTGAACCTTGTAAAACTAAGTATGTTATCATGGCTTCTGGAAAGCACACTAAAGATACAAGTAACTTAATAACAAAGTATGGAAATAAACCTACAAATGAAACAGAATAAAATACAGATGAAGCCTATTGCTAACAAAAGATTCTGATTCACCTTAAACTTCACACAAGCCACTGGCATGTTTTGCTTTAGATAAATTGACAATGCAGTGTCGCTCCTATAAGATAACTGTAGGTCATAATTGATTAGGTTTTGTTTAGTGGACTTGCAAATCATAAGGAATAGGCATGACACTTAGAAGATCCTGGATTTGAATAAAAACAATTTTTTCTTTTGTAGGCTTTAGCAAATACTTTATTGATAAAAGTTAACAAATAGCTCCTATGTTGCACCTTTTGAATTCCTGGTACTGAAACATGAATGAGTTCTTGTCTGTAAAAATTCTTTCACTTTTTCTCCTTATTAGATCTGTGAATAAGATATTTATCATCCTAAAGAAGTATTACCTTTTTAAAAATGGTAGACTAAGAAAACATAAAACAGCCCAATCATGTTCATATAAGCTTTGTTGATGTAATATAAATTATTGAAAATATATTGTTTTTTAGTTTGGGTAATTATATTGTTTATTTTAGGCAGCAGAACTTGCTGAATTCACTGCCAGGATTACACTTCTAGAAGTAGCCAAGAAGAAAAAGGAAGAGGAAGCTAATGAGTGGCAACAAAAAGTAATCATTTATTTGTTCATTACTATCATTTATTGAATACATATTTTGTCCCTAGCAGTCTACTGATTTTATAGAGATGAATAATAGGATCTGTTACAATTTAGGGGGGAAAGATACTTGTGTGAATTGTAGTAAATATTAATCTATTGTTGTAAGCTAAGAACTTTCGAAACACAGGAGAGGTGAATGCGGCAGGTGTTGGGAAACATAAGTTTAAGCTGGGTCTGGAATAATAAACTCAATGGAATGGTTAGAGCACTGAAGAGGAAGTCATTCCAGACAGAGGGGAATGAATGAGTGTAAGAAGCATGAAAGTACACGACAGATTTGAGGATAGCCAGTGAACAAGCAACTCAGAAAATTTGGGAGAGGTAGAAGTTGTGAAAGGCTTTATATAAATGCCCTGCTAAGGCAAGATGGTGGGGAATACCTGTAGACGTTGGGTTCCGTAGATTTTAAAATAGGATTGTAACATGATCAGGTGTAGTTTTATAAAATTAAGTTGGCAGTCAGTGTGAAGGATGGATTGGGATAGTGAGTAGGATTACTATAGAACTAAAGACCCAAACTAAGGATGTGACCATGAGAACAGGAATAAAGAGGAACAGGAATTTTGAGACGTTGTGTGGTGGATTCAAAAGGGCATGGCAACCAGATGATTGGTTATAAAGTGGAATTAGAGGGATGCAGTGAAGATGATACTGAGATTTTTTTTTTGTTTTGAAAAAAAAAAAAAATTTGTTTGAAGCCACTATTGCCTGTAATTGCACAAAAGTGAAAACTAAATATAAGACAATGAGAGCTTAATTCAAACTTTAGATAACATTAATTCTTAAGTGTATGCTTATATGACTTTTCTACAATAAAATGAGTATGGTTTTCTTCATTCTTATATTTTCTTTGTAGCAGTTTAAATTTCATAGGAAAGTTTTTTATATATTAAAAATTATGTATGTATAATTATACAAAAGGAATAAAACTCTCTTAAGCTACCTGTTACACTTTTTTATTAGAATTTGATAGAAACACATAAACTTAAAAAATAACATCCTGGGTCAAATCCTGTGAATTTTGGAGATGAGAAAATTCACACAAGGAGTCACATTTGCACACACTATCATCACTTTGTGACGCCTCAGTGCATGTCCCTTCAGGGTCTCCTTCTGTTTGCATAGGTGTGTCACACGTGTATGGTCAGAGTGAGATCATCCTATATAGACTACTTCATTTCAGTCAGTTTTCATCTCATCTTAGACCAGTGGTTCTCAACCTTCCTAATGCCGCTACCCTTTAATACAGTTCCTCATGTTGTGGTGACCCCCAATTTCATTGTTACAAATTGAACATAATTAAAGCATAGTGATTCATCACAAAAACAATATGTAATTATATATGTTTTCTGATGGTCTTAGGCGACTCCTGTGAAAGGGCCGTTCGACCCCCAAAGGGGTCGCGACCCACAGGTTGAGAACCGCTGTCTTAGACTATTCAAAAAATTTTTTTAATTTAGATGTAATTTACATTATATTAGTTTTAGATATACAACATAAAATTCATATTTGTATACATTGTGAAATGATCACCACAATAAGCCACCATACATAGCTACAAATTTTTTCCTTTGTAATAAAAACTTTAAGTTAACTCTCTTAGCGACTTTCAGATATGCAGTACAGTATTACTAACTACAGTTGTCATGCTGTACATTACATCCCGTGACTTATTTTAAAGCTGGGAGTTTGTACTCTTTGTCGTATTTTGCCCAACCCTGCCTCTGGTAACTGCTAGTCTGTTCTCTGTATTCATAAGCTCAGTGTTTTGTCTTGTTTTCTTGTTTACCTATTTATTTTTTCTTTATGTTATTATGTTCCATCACCATCTATCTCCCCCTGAATCTTCCACAAATATGTGAGATCATACTAGTATGATATTTGTCTTTCTCTGACTTATTTCACTTGGCATCATGCCCTCAAGGTCCATCCATCATGTTACAAGTGGCAAGATTTCCTTCTTTTTTATGACTGAAGAATATTCCATTCTGTGTGTGTATGTGTAGGTGTGTATATATATATATATTAGTTTTATATATATTAGTACACACACACACACACACACCACATCATTTATTCATCAATGGACACTCAAGTTGCTTTCTTATCTTGGCTACTGTTAATAATGCTGCAGTGCATATGAGGATGCATATCTCTTTTCAGATTAATGTTTTTGTTTCCTTTGGAGAAATACCCAGAAGTAGAATTGCTGGGTCATATGGTCATTTTATTTTTAATTTTTTGAACAATCTCCATACTGTTTTCCATAGTGGCGGCACCAATTTACAAGTCCCATCAACAGTACATATACAAGGGTACTTTTCCCCCCACATCTTCGCCAACACTTATTATTTTTTATAATAGCCAGTCTAATTGGTGTGAGGTACTGTCTCACTGTGGTTCCATGTTCATCTTCTTTCTGATTAGTGATGTTGAGCACCTCTTCATGTACCTATTAGTCATCTCTCTGTCTTTGGAAAAATGTCTTTTCAATTCTCTGCCCATTTTTTAATTGAATTGTTTGCTCTTTTAAACTGTTGAGTTGCATGAATTTTTAATATATGTTGGGAATTAACCCCTTATCAGTTACATAATTTTTAAATACTATCTCCCATTTGGTAGATTGTCCTATTGTTTTGTTGATGGTTTCCTCTGTTGTGTAGAAGCTTTTTAGTTTGATAGAGTTTCACTTGTTTATTTTTATTTTTCTTGTCTTTTCTTTTGGTATCAAATCCAAAAAAATCATCACCAAAACCAATGTCAAGGAAACTTGTTGCCTGTGATTTCTTCTAGGAGTTTTATGTCTTCAATTTAAATCTTTGAGTTGACTTTTGTGTATGGTGTAACATAGTGGTCCAGTTTCCTTCTTTTGCATGTGGCTGTCCAGTTTTTCCAACACCATTTATTGAAGAATTGTCCTTTTTAGAAATACCTATATTTTTATTGATTTCAGGGAGGAAGAGAGCGCGAGAGAGAGAGAAACATCAATGATAAGAGAAAACCATCGATTGGCTGCCTCCTACACAGACCCCACTGGGAATAAACCTGCAACCTGAGCATGTGCCCTGACTGGGAACTGAACCCTGAGCTCCTGGTTCATAGGTTGACACTCAGCCACTGAGCCACACTGGCCTGACTTGTCCTTTCTTCATTGCATATTCTTGTCTGCTTTATCACCAATTAATTGAACACATACGTGTGGATTTATTTCTGGGCAGGCTATATTCAAAATTGACCCAAAAGGTATTTTATAGTTAATTTACCATTGCCCAAAGTAGGACTTTGCATTGCATCTGTTTGCTCTGAGTCTATTTTTAAGTAGGACAGTTCTTTTTATATCGAATTGTTGTAAGCACTCAGATTTTCCCTCCTTTTGTATTTAACCAGTTGCTTTTTCATGGTGTCATTCAGTTTGTCCTTTTATCATCAATATTTCCTGTAAAGTGGAAGGTAGACCTAAAAGCTTAAAGGACTCAAGTTAAAAGTTTTTGGCTATAATGTCTCATAGGTGAGATTTCCATATAATTTATCATCCAAATTAGAATATTTTTGAAAGTGAAAGGCAGGGGGTGTTACTAATAATTACTCCAGGCCCTAACCAGTTTGGCTCAGTGGATAGATAGAGTGTTGGCCTTTGGACTGAGGGGTCCCGGGTTTGATTCTGGTCAAGGGCCTTGGTTGTACTTTGGTTGTAGGCACATCCCCAGTGGGAGGTGTGCAGGAGGCAGCTGATCGATGTTTCTCTCTCATCGATGTTTCTAACTCTCTATCCCTCTCCCTTCCTCTCTGTAAAAAATCAATAAAATATATTTTAAAAAATAATAATAATTACTCCAGGACAGTAGTGTAAAGCAGAACTTTTCAAGCAGACCAGCACATTATGATCACTCAGGTAATTGGTAATAGTGGATACTTCTGATGCAGCATATCAGATGACAATATCTAGTTAAGTCACCATTAAGAATTTTAATTGATTTGGATTAGAGTAATAGCAGTTTGATTCCTTCATTGGTTACAATTTCCCCCTTGTGGCTAAAAAAAAAAAAAATGTAATCTATTCCCTAACCACTTAATCTTTGGCATTATACTAATGTCCATTTTTCATCAACCATTTATAAAACAATTTTAGCAGCAATAATCCTTGCCAGAACCAATAATTTTATTAGGGTTTCCGAAGTAATGTTTTTAAAAAAATTCTGTCATTCCCACCTGATGGCATTCTTCACCAGAAATAGAATTTTCATCAATAGGGCCTATTTTCATTATCTGAAAAATCGTTTCTATTAGGAAGATGTACTTGATTTTTTTTAAGTTACTGATTTTTAAAATTGCCTATATACTTGTTTTTATTTTTATTCAGGCATATGCAGCACAGGAAGACTTGGAAAAGACCAAAGAAGAGTTAAAAAGTGTGATGTCTGGCCCCCCTCCACCTCCACCTCCACCAGTCATTCCTCCAACAGAAAATGAACATGATGAACATGATGAGAATAATGCTGAAGCTAGTGCTGAATTATCAAGTGATGGGGTAATGAACCATAGAAGTGAGGAGGAACGTGTAACAGAAACACAGAAAAATGAGCGTGTTAAGAAGCAACTGCAGGTATTTAAAATTTGCAGTTTTACGCATATTTAAAATATAGTCTTCATTTTCCTCATTTATCAAGACAAACTTATTAAAAAGGAATATTTGATTTTTGGAAGCTTTAACACTAGCTGGCCTTGTGATTGGTTTGTGGGTGCTTGGCCTACAGGCACATCAGTCATTTCTTTGGTTATATGACTCCATTAGCAAATGTTTGTTACCTTGTGTGATCAGCCTTTAGCTAATAAGTTATTCTTTTTTCTTTTTTTTAAATATATATTTATATATATATATATATATTTTTTTTAAAAATATATTTTATTTTTTACAGAGAGGAAGGGAGAGAGATAGAGAGTTAGAAACATCGATGAGAGAGAAACATCGATCAGCTGCCTCCTGCACGCCCCCCATGGGGGATGTGCCCGCAACCCAGGTACATGCCCTTGACCGGAATCGAACCTGGGACCCTTCAGTCCGCAGGCCGACGCTCTATCCACTGAGCCAAACCGATTTCGGCTTAAATATATTTTTTATTGATTTCAGAGAGGAAGGAAGAGGGGGAGAGAGAGAGAGAGAGAGAGAGAGAGAGAGAGAGAAACATCAGTGATGAGAGAGAAGCATTGATCGGCTGCCTCCTGCATGCCCACACGGGATCAAGCCCGTAAACCAGGCATGTTCCCTGACCGGGAATCGTGACTTTCTGGTTCATAGGTTGATGCTCATCCACTGAGCCGTGCCAGCCAGGCAGCTATTCTTTAACTAGAGGCCTGGTGCACAAAATTTGTGCACGTTGAGGTGGGGGGGTGTCCCTCAGCCCGGCCTGCACCCTCTCCAATCTGGGACCACTGGCTCCTAAGCGCTTGCCTGCCTGCCTGATCGCCCCTAACCGCCTCTGCCTGCCTGCCTGATCACCCCTAACCACCTCTGCCTTGACCCCTGCCACCAGAAGAATATCCAGTCTATCTGGTCTAATTAGCATATTACCCTTTTATTAGTATAGAAGATTATAGGTTTACCCATGTTTAAAGATAAAAAAAAAATATTTAATGCTGTGTTTAAAAAACAAATGAATTTACTTTTTAAACAAAGTATATATTAAAAATCAGTAATGTAATAGATTACCTGTATGGCATTACATAATCAGAATTATTTACTTATTGATCTAATTATAATTAGATCAAAATAGGATTTTTAATATTTCTAGACTTTTTTGTCATTAAGTTCTCTAATTTTTTAATTGGTGACATCTTCAGATATTAAAAGAATAGGGTGATTATTATAATAAATATATTAAAATTTTTGGAGAAAGCTCTCATGGTATAGATCGGTGATGGCAAACCTATGACACGCGTGTCAGGTGACACGCGAACTCGTTTTTTTGGTTGATTTTTCTTTGTTAAATGGCATTTAAATATATAAAATAAATATCAAAAATATAAGTCTTTGTTTTACTATGGTTGCAAATATCAAAAAATTTCTATATGTGACACGGCACCAGAGTTAAGTTAGGGTTTTTCAAAATGCTGACACGCCGAGCTCAAAAGGTTCACCACCACTGGTATAGATTTTAGATCTTACAGTAACATTATTTTGTAATGGCTACATTAAATCTTTTGGTAGTCATTTCAAGTATTGTGGGAACGTTAAGGAAATTTAGGTTAATACACAAAATCATAATGGTTGATGGGTATAGAAATGAAAGACCATGTGTATCCTTCCCTAACCACGGTCCCCATGATTACTAAAAGTAAAACAAACTTACAGACTTTAAAGATTTCACAATTGAATGCTAAATGTACTAAAAAGCAGGTTTCTTATATGTATATTTTTGTCTTTAAGCCTTTTTCTTGTTTTTAAAGTCTAAAAAAAATAATCTTCATACTTTTTAATTTTTTAAACATAGGCATTAAGTTCAGAATTAGCCCAAGCCAGAGATGAAACTAAGAAAACACAGAATGATGTTCTTCATGCTGAGAATGTTAAAGCAGGCCGTGATAAGTACAAGACTCTGCGACAGATTCGACAAGGCAATACAAAGCAACGTATTGATGAGTTTGAAGCAATGTGAGAGCTGTTATTTTGCATACATGTTCTTCATAAGCTGAACCACCAACAGAGAAAAGCAGGCCTTTGCAGATGTGATGGAATGCATCCCACCTTGCCAAAGCACTTATACCAGTTTGACTGTGGTGGCTAAAAGACACATTTGAGGGGAGCTCTTCAGCTTTAAGGCAGTGTGACATCATGCTTGGTTTTCTTTTTCTTTTGAGCCAGGGACTGGAGAACGGTGTTCATCATCTCCTTTCATATTTTGCATTTTCCATTTTTTTTTTCTGTTGAAAATTAACACTAATTATCATGTCTGACAAATGTGTAGGTGTGATTTAAGCACTTTGTACATTTCAAAGGCCAATGGTGATTTATTTAATGATTGGGTTTTTCCCTTGCCCCTTTCAAATTTTACCTGCATGTAGTTCCCCATTCTTTTTCATTATGTTTTCTCAGTGTGCCCTTCTCATATCTTGCCATGCCCGTAGCCATAATTCTGCCACCATACAGATCACTGGCAGTGTTTAAAATGAGGGTAGGTCACAGGTACACAGTTTTTGATCATGTGTAGAAGATGGCTGTGAATTATGAAAGGATAAGAAAGTTGAACTGTAGTGTGCACCTGGTGGTTAATTTTTTAAAACCCCAATTTTATTATGTGATTGGGTATTTGATACTTAGAGTCATTTTTGACAGCTGAATTGATCGGTGTTTCATCTTCTGTCATCCTTTGGTTTTCTTTGCCTACCAATTCACAAAGGTATAGATAGCAAGGTAATAGTGCCCTAGGAGAGTGTATTGGTGAAATATTCCCTGCAAATAAATCAGTTGTCTGATTTAAAAAGTTTTGCTCTCTCATAGATTAGTTTAGGCAAACAGACATTTACTAAAAGAAAATACGCATTTGTTGGTCATTGATTATAATCATTAAAAACCTTGGGCCTTCCTGAAAGGGCAGCATATGCAAACATCAGTCCCCTGAGGCGACAGTGACACTACCTCACTACTGTACCCACAATGACTGGTTGTTCAAGCTTATGTTTTATAAGCATAGAATACTTCCAATCATGAACAACTATGTTTCAGATTTCTTTTTCCTTCAGAATATCTAGAGTGCTAAATTTTTAGCTGCCTTTTTGTTGAGCTGAATTGTGGGACTCTGAATTGTATTAAAATTGTAAGCTCTCACTGGTATACAATCTTCCTGGAGAGGTGTTGTATGTCTGAAAAATGTGTGTGTGTGTGTGTGTGTGTGTGTGTGTGTGTATGTAAGAGAGATGTTGCCTTGTACCATCTGAAGAGTGTCTGTACCTTCATTTCTTGATATAATTGTTACATGATCATTTTAGCATATTTGGTTTCTAAATCATTATGCTTTTTTTTTCAGTTTCTAATTAAGAGTACTTAAATTTGGTTTGTTAATCCTGTTTTAGAAATTATAATTTTAGGCAATACTGAGTTCAATTATGTCTTAAGAAGAAATCTTTCCAGTTTGAAAGATGTTCTAATATTCACATGTTCTAACATTTTCTTTATTGTGTAAACATCTGGATTTGGAAATAAGGAAAGCCTTTTTTTCTCTGTGTGGTTCAGCTACTTTTTTTTGGTATTATGCATTCAAATTGACATTTATCTATTAGAATTTGCCATTTTATTAAGACATTTTCATGCACAGTAGATTCAAGTTGTGTCTGAAAATATCTCTTGTGCTTTTTTGATTTTGCTGACTTTAAAAGGATTAATCTGGGCAGACATTATGAAAAGGAAAGGTTGCATTTAATATATTTTTTGGACTTTGTAGGACAAAATATAACTGGTTAACGTTGAAGTGACTATTGTACAGTGGTTGTGCACATGCTTCAAAACGCTGTGGAGGAAAGGGTTTCTACTTTCAGCACATAGAGGTGAACCTTCTGGCCATGCTTCTCCACAACATTAAAGCAACTGCCATGACAGGGGAAAACGTGAATTTTTATTAATTTTTTCCTTTTTGAATATTGTGCACTACCATTGCTACATGAGTTTGATATCAGTGTTGAAAAATTACCAGTTATATTGGCTGTTTATAATCTATTTGTAGATTAGGATTAAAATGGAGTTAATCCATTTTTAAAGCTGTGTGAATTTTTCTAAACAGGAAAAACTATTTGCGATATGGATTTTCATAGTGATTAACCAATTATAACTTTTATTATTAGCAATTGAGAGCACATGTTCATATAGCAATGTAAAAATATATTAATGAGTATTCGGTAAATTCCAGCAGGCTTTTACCAATAGCATAATTTTGTGTTGTACAATTAAGTTACAGTTACATCTATAATTTTGGATAACATTCATTGGTTAACAATAAAGTGACAAAAGCTCATGCCGTTAAGGTCCACTGTTGTTATTTAACATGGATTTTTTTTGGTATATTTCCTGAAAATTATAATCTCACCTTAAAAATGAAAAGTGGTTAGGAAAAATGTCAAAATCCTCATGGAGTTACTCTTTCCCCTAAATTATACCTATTCTAATATGGAAATAATAGTGCTTATTAATTCTGTGGAAAAATTAAATTGATAAATAATTTGATAACACAAATTAGGATTTTTAGTCATTGCTTTTATTGTATAGTGTTTAGTTTCCTTCTTCCTAAGGAAGATATAGTTTCATTGTCATTAATTGATCTCACTTAAAATGCTAATACTCTGTAAAGAACTGAACACAAAGTACATCTATTTAAATACATACTCTTATTTTGTCGTATTACAGAGCAGTTACCATAAATCTAGAAGTTAACTTTTTTTAAAAGCTTCTTACTAATTCTTAACGTAAAGATTATTTTTAAATAAATAAGAGCTAAATATAAAAATAGGAAAAGCCAAATGTCTTCTCAGTTTATAGTAATATTTAAAAAAAGTATTTTTATTGATTTCAGAGAGGAAGGGAGGAGAGAGAGAGAGAAACATCAGTGATGAGAGAGAGTCATTGATCAGCTGCCTTCTGCACATCCCACACTGGGGATCAAGACCGCAACCCAGGCATGTGCCCTGACCGGGAATCGAACTGTGACCTCCTCATTCACAGGTTAATGCTCAACCACTGAGCATGCAGGCCAGGCTATAGTAATATTTAACTTACTTTTTTATTGCTATTCTCAAAGGCAGGTAGTGATTTCTTCTGATCTTGTCAGAAGGGGGAATTTTACAAGATTTTGCTTTGTATCTAATCAGAATTTTTCTTATTTAGAATTTTCACTTACAAAGTATCTTCGAATGAATTGGAACTCTCCCAATTATTATTAGAAAAGAGTTTCAATATGAGTATTCTGATTAAAAATAAAATATGCTTACCACTTTCTCAGTTTTGATTATCGTGATCTTGTTAGAAATGAAGATAAAAACATTTTAGATTCAAAAGCCTCCCATTCTTTGTATGTATGATAAAAACAATTAGTTTATTTTCGGGGGGGGGGAGCTTAAAAAAATATATTTTACCGATTTTTTACAGAGAGGAAGGGAGAGGGATAGCGAGTTAGAAACATCCATGAGAGAGAAACATCGATCAGCTGCCTCCTGCACACCCCCTACTGGGGATGTGCCTGCAACCAAGGTACATGCCCCTGACCAGAATCAAACCTGAGACCCCCTAGTCTGCAGACCAATGCTCTATCCACTGAGCCAAACTGGGTAGGGCCAATTAGTTTTTATTAAAAATCTAAAGCTTAAAGTTGCAGTATAACGAATTACCACCTTTAGCATTAATTTTCTGAACTGATTGATATCTTTAATAAGGATAAGAGAAAACACTTAAATATGGAGCTACACTAGTAGACAAGTTCCTTACGTTCTAAGTGAATAGATCTTTAGCATTTTCTTATTCTGCACTTTTTTTTAACTAGAAGATTATGCAGTTTATCATGTAGAATGACAGTATTCTAGTACATTTCAAAAGCTCAGTGGATTCTGCAGATGTTTTGATAACTTCATAAAATGTCAAGGCACTCTGACTCCTCCCATTCTACACTGGTAACCAGGAAAAATTGGCTCAAAGCGTTTCCTTTATCAAAGCTTATCACTTTCCCATCCTTGACTTTTTCACTTAAATAAACTCTCATTTTTTCCTAGTGGACCTACTTCTTAATATGTCCATCTCTCAAGATTTTAAGAGCTGCCATTTTCCCTCTGGAAATAATAACTTCTTGCTTGGTTGCCCCAATATTTTGATCTCTCTTAAACTCTGTGATAGGAGACTTTTCTGATTTCAGGTTACATACACTGCTGTAGGAGTTAAAGTATCCATCACTATTTTCCACAGAATTTTAAGGTCAAAGATCATGACTGAGATAATTACCCTGTGGCACACCTTTTAAATTCAGGTTTATGTTTGGCTCTGGACTTGCCTAGCTGCTACATGGCTCCAGGTTTTTATTTAATGATCGTCATGTAGCCAATATGCTTTCATTAAGTACCAGCTCTGTTCTGGGCTATAGAAGCCAGATTAAAATGGCTACGACCCTTTGTTATGGCCCAGCTCAAAATGTGGAACTTCAAATTTTAACTTACCTTAGCTCCTAGACCATTTGCCTTAATCTGTTACAAATACTAGATTGTTTTTAAAATAGCAGTACCATTTTGTTGATTCATATTATTTGTATGCCCAGATTCCTCCGCGCTTGTATCTAGTCAGTTGCTTCCATCATGTAATTTATTATTTGTATGTTACGTTTATTTAATGTTCATGTAAAATTTAGATGTACTTTGATATTTATGCATGTCATTTAGTTTGCTCTTAAAAATAGTGATACTGGTTTTAGTTTATTTTTACTTAGTCAATATAAGCCAACAGTCTATCTTCCAAGTGGTAATATGGGATCAGAGTTTCTGAGATTTATGTGACAATCCTTGGAAGAATTCCTTTTGATGAAGCGTGGATTTATTATATGAAATTTTTGCATTTTTATAATGTATGCCATAATATCCCTTTTAGTTTTTTACATGTTACGATGTTTTATCTTCTGTTTTAGACCT